ATTACTTAGGAACATAATAATAAAGGCAATTGTAGAAGGCTAATTTACCCATACGAGGCGACTCCTATTTATAATCCACTCAAACTCATTCATATAAATGTTTAAGCTATGATTGAAACTGGTGATCCATCGTCTATTGTGCTCCCAGGTAATTTGTTTCAAGATTGTTGTTACATGAGGCACCGGGCAAAACGTTCTCGCACTTTCTTATAGTCAATATTGACTTAATAAATAAGTGCATATGTGACATACTAATTTATTGTGAATATTTTAGTTTACCTTGAAAAGCTTCATAGAAAACACTGACGTTACCTAACCTTCTTAATATGTTAAGATAAGCATCTTATTGCTTCGTAATTACAATTATTACTTAACCTATACCTATAATAGGTTAAGTAATAATTGTAATTACGAAGCAATAAGATGCTTATCTTAACATACTAAGAAGGTTAAGTAAGGTCGGTGTTTTCTATGAAGCTTCTCAAGGTAAACTAAAATATTCACAATAAATTAGTATGTCACATATGCACTTATTTAATAAGTCAGTATTGACTTAATGAAAGTGCGAGAACGGGTTGCACCGGGAAGAGACTGGAGGGAAGGGAATTATGAAGAGAAAACGCTTACTCAGGATGACTATATAACACTGTAACACATGAAAGGAATAGGGGGTAGCAGCTGGGATAGAGGGAATGGTGTAAAGGAACGGTGCCCCTACCACTTGAACCATTGGGGACTGAATGCCGGCCCTGCTTGAAGCGAGGCCATCGCTCTACCGACGACCAGATAGTACCTTGTGTGTAGTAATGATAGCGATGGTTGCAGGTAATCTGCTGGCGGAGGATGAGGTGCTGGACTGGCTGGTGCATCAAGTGGAGGACGACGAGATCGAGGACGTCACCGACGAGATGCTGGACCGTCTGATTGACCGCTCGGAACACCTCGCTGTCCTCTTCTGTAGGTGGCTCATGCCTTTTTTTCAGTTTTGCATCATTGTAGTAAATATTAACATAACTCGAGGCATAGGGAACAATTAAATGTATAATCCCACCTCGATCTGTCTACTAGTTGCCACATCACACATTATGTGTAATATTTAATTGACAAAGTTTATATTCATTAATATGTTTCAGACGATAAGGACAGCCGCCGCAGCCGGAAGGTGCTGGCGGAACTGGAGAACATTGACGACGAGTGCGACGACCGCGGCATCTTCTTCGTCAAGATCGACAACGACGAGGAGGCCAAAGAGTACGGCATTGACTCCATCCCAACTCTCGTCTACTTCGAGAGTGAGATCCCATACATCTACGAAGGTGAGCCCGCCAAACACACACTGAAACTACGACGTTGGTACAACGTTCGAACACGTTTTAACGCCTCCTAACCAGTTATAACAACCAATATAGCAAATTGTAACAACGTTCTAATACGTCATAAACACGTTAAGCCAAGATATAACAACTTTATTACAAGTTGTAACAAGCGGAAAATAGAGACAGTTTCGGTTTGTGTTTCCAGGGAGGGCTTTACAGTGCCGCTCTGTCAGAGTCGTGTTTTTGGCTGTAACATCTCTTGACTACAGCCACAACTGTAATTATTTGTGAGAAACTGACAATTCCAGCTTCTAAATGTAAATCTAAATTATACAGTATATAATTATAATTATATAGATTGCTGTTATGATTTTTCCCTTATGTATGTACTGTAATTTTGTGTGTAGCAATGATAGCGTAATGATAGTAATGAGTTATATGTAAACATTTATCATTCAAGTTTTTGTATTTGAATTTAAACACTCATCCACCAGCCCGTTCTCACAGTCTGACAAGCATCTAAATTATACTGATTTTGGTTATCTATAAGCGTCAGTATCTAGATGAACCTACCCACCCTATCGGGAGTAATGGTCACTAGAACCTAAGAATACGTACAAATGGAGTTGCTTAAATTCCACTCAATTCTCCTCAATTTGGAAGCTGCTGTTGATGTGTGTTGATAGTGAGGGCGACTCGATCCCATTTTGAATGAGCACTTCGGGTTTAAACATCTATTGTCAGTTGTGTACAAATTAACGTCTTTGTACAATTTTTAATGTACAAAGGAATCACAGTAATGTGAATATATCCACAGGAGCCGTGATAAGGATTCGAACCTATGCGGTGGGGTGTTCTCAGCGCATTGGTTCAAATCTTCATCACGGCTTCCGTGGATTTTCTCATTTTTAATGTTTGAAAGTATAAAACATTGCATGTACTTTCATTGGAATATAATTTTTGTGATTACTTGATGACTGTGAATGTTGTGGTCAGGTGACCTGATGAAGGAGGAAGACGTGCTGGAGTGGCTCATTCATCACGTCGAGAACGAGGAGATCGCCGACATCACCGATGAGATGCTTGACAAACTCATCGCCAATGAGCCGTTCCTTGCCGTCCTCTTCTGTAAGTATACTCTTCTGCTTCGTTCATTCACGTCAAAAAGTTGTTATGGGAAGTCATACCATCTTAAGTACAAAATGATATCACAAGAATGTCATGTGTCTATGAGAAGACATTAAGTGTTACTCGTGAGTGCATTACTTAAGCTGAGAATGTGTTTGACTCTTATGTTTGTCTTCGTAATCTTATATTTTCTTGTGTAACAGATTCGTAAACATGCAATAATTTTTCGTTGATAATAATTACATGCAGCGCAGAGAGCACACACAATGGCCACTATATCTCACACTATGAGATATAGATGATTGGGAAAGTTTACATAATTCAGGGGAAAGTGATGACAAAGTTTCAAACATTCACGGAAAATCAGCTGAAAAGTTCCTTGACTCTCTTTGCCGTGTTTACCGTAGACGACAAGGACGATCCAGAGGACCACGAAGTGCTAGCTGAGCTCGAGAGCATCGACGACGAGTGTGAGCAGGCCGGCGTGCCCTTCGTCAAGATCGACAACGACTCCGAAGCCAAGGAGTATGGTATCGATGAGCTGCCTACACTAGTTTACTTCGAGAACAGAATTCCTAGCATTTATGAAGGTAGGTTTTGGCCTGTTTTGGAGGGGGGTTGAATATGTTCAAGAGACAGTGTGTGTTTGAGTTAGTGAATGTGTGTGTGTGTGTGTTTGTGTGTGACTATTTGTATCTACAGGATCGAGCTGTTAGCTCTTGGACCCCGCCTTTCTATCCGTTGGTTGTCTACTATATTGACTCCAGTATTACTTTTTCTTTATCGTGTCTACTGTGTGTAGACATGGTACTTCAATTAAATTTTCAAAATATTAATTTTTTTCTTTTGCAAACAGAGTGGTAGACGGTTGGAATAAGCTAAGTGAGAAGGTGGTGGAGGCCAAAACCGTCAATAGTTTCAATGCATTATTCGACAAAGAGTACTGGGAAGACGGGACACCACAAGTGTAGCTCTCATCCTGTAACTACACTTTGGTAATTACACACACATACATGATACAGCCCGTAGCAGCAGTCTAACTCCCAGGTATCTATTACTTCTAGGTGAACAGAGGCACTAGGTGAAAGAAACTCAGCCCAATTATTTCTGTGTATGTGTGTGATAAAGAGAATGTATTTAGAATATAAATATTCTGGTGGTACAGTTTATGAGTGAGAAACGCCTACTGACCTCACACCTTTGAGATGTATTTCTTGCTTATCTCAATAAACATACTTGAACTTGAACCTCACACCTCTCTCCTTTCCGTCTTCCCCTGGCGGGTATGCAGGAGATCTCTCCAATGAGCAGGAGGTGCTGGCCTGGATCCTCCTTCAGAAGACCTCGGACACAATCGAAGAAGTCACCGACGAGATCCTCGACGACCTCATCGCCAACTTCGAATACGTTGTCGTCTACTTCAGTAAGTGCTACCTATCTGCCTTTTTTCTTTTGACGACATTGAGTGCTGGAGGGAGTGGGGGGGAGGGGTGGTGGCATTAGTCTCCGTGGTGTAGTGGTAAGACACTCGCCTGGCGTTCCACGAGCGCTTTGTCATGGGTTCGTATCCTGGCCGGGGAGGATTTACTGGGCGCAAATCCTTAACTGTAGCCTCTGTTTAACTCAACAGTAAAATGTGTACTTGGTTGTAAAAACGAGTCTTCGCGGCGGGGATCGTATTCCAGGGACCTGCCCGAAACGCTACGCGTACTAGTGGCTCTACAAGAATGTAACAACTCTTGTATATATCAAAAAAAAAAAAAATAGTCATAATTCCCGTTGTTAGGGCCAGGAGGTTATCTTGAGATGATTTCGGGGCTTTAGTGTCCCCGCAGCCCGGTCCTCGACCAGGCCTCCACCCCTAGGAAGCAGCCCGTGACAGCTGACTAACTCCCAGGTACCTATTTACTGCTAGGTAACAGGGACATCAGAGTGAAAGAAACTCTGCCCATTGTTTCTCGCCGGCGCCCGGGATCGAACCCAGGACCACAGGATCACGCGTCCAGTATTCTGTCTGCTCAACCGCCGGCTCTCTAGTCACCAGCCGCCGCCAGAAAGCATGTATTTAGGCCTATCGGGTTCCCCCCCCCACCCCCCCGTCCCCATAGGCCAGCTACTGACTTTCCGCACGATGCCACCCACAACAGTTGACATAAACAACTGCAATTCCCTCAAACAAAATGTAGCTTAGGTTGAAAAGTAATTGGTTATACAAATTTTAATCAAGTAATTATCCAAGTATTGAATATATAAAATAATGATATTATAAACATTACAAATATTCTAAAAATAATTGTTTTTGAAATATTTGCCATATTATTACAAATATTATTAATTCCAAAACTATAAATGCTGTTTACAAATGCTACGACTAATATTACCCAAATAATAATAATAATAATTATCAAAATAATAAATAATAACAATAAATTGTTTAGGCAAAAGTACATAACATATAAAATGAGTTACAAGCAGAACGTGAGATAATATTTGATAGTAAGTTTAATACGGTTAACAAAATAATGGTGATCTGTTTCCTCTCCCACCCCGTCTCCCAGGCGGGAAATGCGAGGAGGGCCAGAAGTGCGACAAGATCCTCGACGAGCTGGAGAACATCGACGACGACACCGACGACCAAGGCATGCACTTCGTCACCACCGAGGAGACCAGTCTGGCCGCCCAGTACGGCGTCAAGACCTTCCCTTCCCTCGTGCTCTTCAGAAATGGCGACCCGCTCGTCTATAAGGGTATGGTGGGTCGGGGTGGGTGTGGCACGGAGAGAGAGAGAGAGAGAGAGAGAGAGAGAGAGAGAGAGAGAGAGAGAGAAAGACGTGAAAGAGGCAGAAAGTGAGAGAGATATGAACGGAAAAGAAAGTGAGAGTTAGAGACAGAGAGAGACAGATAGAGAGAAAGAGAGCTACACTGTTTCCTCTCTCTCTCTCTCTCTAAGTCCTCGCTTTTGCGTTCCCTCCTTCGTCCGGTTCGTTTGCCATTTAGCAGCTTGCTCGTTAAGGGTCAAGTGATTCGTTAATAGGTCAAATAGCCAAGCGAATTGCACCAAAGACCGCAATGAAATTGTAAATGACAGGACTGAGAGAGAGAGAGTGAGAGAGTGAGAGAGAGAGAGAGAGAGAGAGAGAGAGAGAGAGAGAGAGAGAGAGAGAGAGAGAGAGAGAGAGAGAGAGAGAGAGAGAAAGTGAGAGAGATATGAACGGAAAAGAAAGTGAGAGAGTTAGAGAGAGAGGGGGGGAGAGACAGAGAGAGTGGAGGGAAGGAGTTATCAGGAGAATTAGCACGGGCTATGGTGAGTTACGGGCTCACCATAGCCCGTGCTACTTGGAACTTATTCCGAGTAGCTGAATCTATAACAACAACTAAAGGTCAGGATAAGGATTTGGGATGGGACAGGGAGGGAAAGAATGGTGCCCAACCACTTGGACGGTCGGGGACTGAACACCGACTTGCATGAAGCGAGACCGTCGCTCTACCGTCCAGCCCAAGTAGTTTGGGGGAAAGAGTGATAGGAGGAAGAAAGAGAGAGAGATGTCAATATATTTTTTTCTCACTGAATTAGCTTGGTAATACGCTCCCCTCATCTAGGCCAGACAGTTGTCATCTAGACCTAGCTCTGCAATACGCAGCTAATAATCTTGCTATTATCTTCAAATAAGTTGTGCTATCAAAGGAATATGTTATATACTTATTGGCCAATGTACTGAACATTATAAGAAATTACGTCTGATACCTTGGTCTCATTTTCTTTTTTTCAGAAGAGTCTATTTTGTTGTTGGATATAAATATTAAATACAGTATTTTAAAATGTTTGTCTTTATTAATGACTTTACTGGAGGTTGCGCCTTGGTAGTGTCATCCGTAGGTGATGTAAACACAGAAATCACACTAGCGTGATGCATCAAATGAACAAATCCACAAGGGCCGTGACGCAGGTTCGAAATCCTCGCCACGGCCCTTGTGGATTTGTTCGTAGGTGATGTATTTTACAACGTCATACGCTGAAGAGTAATTTTTCTTTGCAGGGAAATTCTTTAGAAACTTCCATCTTATATTTGATTAATATGGAATCTGCCTTTGTTCAGGACTCTCTCACATTGCTTGTGAGAAGTTGACAATTATATATGTAGTAACTATTTGCATGCTTTGCCTCTTAGAGTTTGCAAAATCAAAACAAATTATTCTCTTCTAAAATTATGCTTTTGTTGCACTTATGTTAATTATTTACATGTTATGAGTTAAAAGTTGCATCTCTGACTAGCTTATTGTGGATTTCTATGCAACAGTTGTCTAACTTAACCAAAAACTGTCACACTTAAAGAAGCTTCTTGATTAACCAAAAACATATCAAGCCATAACAAGTGTCTAGATTAACCTAAAACCATCATGTCAAAACAGGTGTCTAGAATGATTAACCGGAAACAAGTCATGTCAAAACAAATGTCTTAGATTAAGCTAAAACAATCATGTCAAAACAAATATCTAGATTAACCAATGCTAAATCATACCAATGCAGGTGTCTAGATTAACTAAAAACCAATGCATGCCAAAAACACTTGACTGCAAATATTCGATTTGTCTTGAGAGATAAAAAAAAAACTAAAGTATTTCTACTCACCTCTGTCAATATTGAAGCTCGGTGATTATTTATGATAAATGAATATGTCTGTTCTGCTGTTAAGTGTTGTGTGTTAACACTAAAAAAAAAACTCAATATAGTAATGTCAATCATACATGCTAACGTTTAGTAAATGGCGATTGTATGTAGAATTACTCCACACAGGTATTGTCTTCCTGCATGTAGAGGTCACTCCTTAGAGTAGACTACACTTAGTGACATTGACCCCCAAGTCTGGCCATCACGCCGCCTTTAGTCGACATCATGATGTCATGATCCTCCAGCCTGGCTCCTGAGAGGAACTCCTGTTGACACTCGGGTGAAGATCTTTGGCTCTGTAGGTTACATCTGAGTTCCTTCAAGATCGTCGTTCGGCGGTAGATCCCGTCTGCACTCCTGCGTGTGAAACTTCTCATTCAGCTGGACGCTATTTTTCGAACCAGCGGTCGGAGAACCACCACTCAGAGCACGGGACTCGTTGTGCACGCATTTGGTTCGAGACATCTCTTCGGCAAGTCGAAAACATCCAAGGAAATACTGTCACATCATTATTTACGTGGAGACGACATCACATGCCTCTTACAATGAACAATTTCCAACGAAGTCGACAATGCCTGTCTCAGACTAGAAGAATTTCCAACTGAGACGACAATACTTGTACCATACTGCAAAAGTGTTCCAGGGGGATACTACTCCCGCCTCTTCCAGGGATTGTTCCAGGTTATCCCTAAGTACTACCTTAGTGACTAGTCCTGGCTACAGTTTCCGAGCTCAGCACCGCTTATGGTTATGGCTTACACTGTACTTCGGAAGAGTTTCCTGAAGGCCTGAACCGCTACTGTCCCGAATACCATGTTGTTGATGGTCCCAACTACTACCTCCTCGGAAGTCGTGTTCCTGCTGATCCCAGCCATTGCTACCTTGGATACAATGTCCCTGATTGTCCCTACTATTGAATACCATGTTGCTGATGGTGTCCCAACCACTGAGTACCATGTTCCTGATGGTGTCCCAACCATTACCACCTCGGATATTATGTTCCACGTGAGAACAAATCTTTATCACGAGGACAATATTGATGAAACTTTGTTTTCTCCATCAGTGTTTGACACTGTTTGCACGATGTGAATCATTACCTCATTATTACGTGGACTACAGATACATGCGTCCATGATATCAATAGACTCTTGCAAACTTATTGTGATGTTAACATTTTATTTAGTAAAATCCTAACAGATTAATGCTTGTCTTTTCACACCTTGCCAAGCTAACATCAGCTGTAAACAAAAGACTGTGTGTGCTTTTGCTGATTTTTTTTTGTTTACAAAATTAAACTGCTGGCTTAATTTTAATAGTCACTAACTATTTAATTCAATCGTCTTATCTTCAGGTGTCACAGTTACAGTGAGGGTTAAAAGCACACAGTATGGAATGAATTAAAGCATAATTCACACCCACAAAATGATCCTAATCTTAAGAAACGACAGAGGATTGTTCTACGGTGACTCCACCAGCAGAACAAATAAAGGGCGGGGTTTGGTTATGACGACAATGAGTGGAGATCGATGTTGACCAAGACAAAGGATAACTTCAGGTGGTGAAGACGCTGGAGTGGGAGAAGGAGATGGGGGTTGAGTAAGAAGCAGAAGATGGAGAATGACTAAATCACAAATCTAGAATAATCACACCTGATGCCTTTGCAATGCTGATCAATTGCCTTTTAGAAGTAAAGGGCCGAGCCAGAGGAGTTGAGAAATGTTGATCAGGAGCCACCAAGTGCGAACCTTATAGTTATAGAGGTCACACTAGTAGACAAATCTAGATATCTTATTTAGCTGGGATATTAACTAATAAGTGAAAGGTAACTACAATAAATACCTGCAAGCGCAAGATAGTGTGTCAATGACCTAACTCAAGATAAATAAATATGGTTTTGGAAGATCATTTTCAATATTGGTATTTCAGCATTTAACGTTTTTGTGTGATGGTGTTTGGTACCAGGTGACATCAGTGATGAGCAGGCCGTGTTGAGGTGGCTGACGGATGATGATACGCTGGAGATCCCCAACCTGATTGAGGAGGTGAACCAACGCATGCTGGAACGAATACTCAACACCTCGGATAACGTCGCTGTCTTCTTCTGTAAGTTCTCGCTGAGGCTCCTCTATTGCTCCTCCTCCTTCAGGCTTTAACATTGATCTATCAAGCATAGAGTGTGCAGGCGAGGAGTCACAATAACGTGGCTGAAGTATGTTGACCAGACCACACACTAGAAGGTGAAGGGACGACGACGTTTCGGTCCGTCCTGGATCATTCTCAAGTCGATCAAGTCGACAATCGACTTGAGGATGGTCCAGGACGGACCGAAACGTCGTCGTCCCTTCACCTTCTAGTGTGTGGTCTGGTGAACAAGCATAGAGTGTGGCTGTTGCTGTTTAATGTACAAAAGTTATTACACACAGAAATCACAATTGCGTGATGCATCAAATGAACAAATCCACAAGGGCCGTGACGAGGGTTCGAACCTACATACGAGAGGATCCCAGACGCTGCCTTAATCGACTGAGCTATGACATGGTTCTTTTACCATGTCGTAGCTCAGTCGATTATGGCAGCGTCTGGGATCCTCTAGGATGTAGGTTCGAACCCTCGTCACGGCCCTTGTGGATTTGTACAAAAGTCATGGCTAAGTGATTCACTCAAAGGAAAGAGACGAATGAGTTTTAGTAGATTTGCCTTCTTCAAGAGACACGAAAGGTTTGTACTAGTTTTCACTTCGTCCATGTTAAGGTAATTATCAGCTAGGAGAGAGCAGTAAGCCAGAACAACTTTATAGCACTTACGAAAGGATGAGGATAGGACGGAGAGAAGGAATGGTGGCCACAACCACTTGGACACTTGGGGATTGAACATCGACCTGCATTTAGCGAGGCCGTCGCTCTACCGTCCAACCCGAGTGATTGGGCTAACTTAGACGAATGACACGAAAGGTTATACAATAGTTTTGACTTCTTCCAAAATATAAGAAAGCTTTGTAATAGTTTGAACTTCTTCGACAGTAATAGATTGAACTTCTTCGACAGTAATAGATTGAACTTCTTCGACAGTAATAGTTTGAACTTCTTCTACAGTAATAGATTGAACTTCTTCGACAGTAATAGTTTGAACTTCTTCCACAGTAATAGTTTGAACTTCTTCGACAGTAATAGATTGAACTTCTTCGACAGTAATAGTTTGAACTTCTTCCACAGTAATAGTTTGAACTTCTTCGACAGTAATAGATTGAACTTCTTCGACAGTAATAGTTTGAACTTCTTCCACAGTAATAGTTTGAACTTCTTCGACAGTAATAGATTGAACTTCTTCGACAGTAATAGTTTGAACTTCTTCCACAGTAATAGTTTGAACTTCTTCGACAGTAATAGATTGAACGTCTTCGACAGTAATAGTTTGAACTTCTTCCTCAGTAATAGATTGAACGTCTTCCACAGTAATAGTTTGAACTTCTTCGACAGTAATAGTTTGAACTTCTTCCTCAGTAATAGTTTGAACTTCTTCCACAGTAATAGTTTGAACTTCTTCGACAGTAATAGATTGAACGTCTTCGACAGTAATAGTTTGAACTACTTCCTTTTGCAATACCTTCACCTTTCTCCTAAAAGAGGGAGGAATAACTTGGACCAGTTTTGACTTGTGTGACGTCACCAGACGCCGCGGGGGACAAGAAGAGCAAGAAGATCCTGACGGAGCTGGAGAACATCGACGATGAATGCGACGACATCGGCATCGACTTCGTCAAGATTTCTGACGATGGGATCGCCAATGAGTATGATATCGTGAGCTTGCCGGCCCTCGTCTACTTTCGGAATCGATTTCCTCAGATATATGAAGGTGATAATATATCATTTTTACCTCTTGTTTGTTTTGCGTGTGTATCGAATTTGCATTTTTGAATATATATATATATATAAGGAAATTTGGATATATTTACATATCAAATATATCAAGTTTGCGTATATCCTGAAGGGGAATGCGAGTGTTAAAGACAATTTAATTTAACTTTGATATATGTTTTCTTTGTCACAATTCTAAGTCGATGTTGGTCATTACTTTTGTTTTTTGAGCCTTATCTGCCTCTAGAACAATCTAGAACTCGGCTTCTTGGTTCGAGTTCTAGATTGTTCTTTAAAAAGTTGAATAATTTCTCAAAAACCTATTGTTACTTGACAATCCATTGATAAGTGCAGTATTTACATCTGATTGTTTTTTCAACAAAACCAACATATCAAATATCATTTTATCAATGATTTATTGATGGAATGTTACACCTGAAGCCCTTTAAGTTGATGAGGAACTCCAACTTTTCTGTTGGAGTTACTCACTGACTGTCACTTTGACTGTCACTGACTGTCACAAAAGTGGAGTCACTTTTCTGTTGGTCACTCACTGTTGACCAGACCACACACTAGAAGGTGAAGGGACGACGACGTTTCGGTCCGTCCTGGACCATTCTCAAGTCGATTGTGACTCACTCACTCACTCACTCCTGCAGGTGACTTGAGAGACGAGGAGGCGCTGCTGGAGTGGCTTATTGACAACAAAGACAAGGGCCCAGCATCCATCATCGAAGAGGTGGACGGTCAGATGTTGCAGAGTCTGGTGGACACCTTCGAGTACCTCGTCGTGTACTTCTGTGAGTAGTTCGCTGGGGTCTCTGGTGGAGGCGTTTTGAATAACTGTAATGGATAAGTAGAAGTAGTTTTCTGGGTGGTTATCTTGAGATGATTTTGGGGCTTTTAGTGTCCCCGCGGCCCGGTCCTCGACCAGGCCTCCACCCCCAGGAAGCAGCCCGTGACAGCTGACTAACACCCAGGTACCTATTTTACTGCTAGGTAACAGGGGCATAGGGTGAAAGAAACTCTGCCCATTGTTTCTCGCCGGCGCCCGGGATCGACCCCGGGACCACAGGATCACAAGTCCAGCGTGCTGTCCGCTCGGCCGACCGGCTCCGGGTGACATGTAAAGAGTTAATCGAAGTAGTTTCCCGAGTAATTGTAATGGGTTTGTGGAAATAGTAACTATAATGGGTATCTAGCGGTAATAGTCCAAGTGAGAAAATCTACCAGGGCTATGAGGGGGGGCGCGAACCTACGATCTAGGCATTGCCAAGTCGCATACACTACCACTAGACCACCTAGGCTGACTGGTTAAAGTCGTACAACCAAATTCCTACTGAAATCACAGGAAGTGTAGAGGCCCCCCTTGCTGAAGTCAGTCCAGGTTTTATGAATGATCCACAAGCACTCGGGAGGAGGGTAGAGTGAACCTATACACCTTACGCCCCAAGGTGTGGGACCACGTGAAGAAGCAGCAACAACAGTGTGTGTGTGACATATGGGAGAAAACGGCTCGCGTGTAGCATTTTGATGACTGAGTAAGTGACGGCTGTCAATCTAGACCATGAAGTGTGAGTGTGTACTCACCTAGTTGTGCTTGCGGGGGTTGAGCTCTGGCTCTTTGGTCCCGCCTCTCAACCGTCAATCAACTGGTGTACAGGTTCCTGAGCCAATTGGGCTCTATCATATCTACACATGAAAGTGTATATGGAGTCAGCCTCCACCACATCACTTCCTAGTGCATTCCATTTGTCAACCACTCTGGCGCTAAAACACTATGTGTGTGTGTGTGTGCGTGTGTGTATGCGTGAGTGTGTGTGTGTGTGCGTGTGTGTATGCGTGAGTGTGTGTGTGTCTGTGTGTTTGTAGCGGTGAAACATATCTGGGTCATATATGGTAATGTTCTTGTACTGGGTTGGACTTAATATCTAGTTTCTGTAATTCTTAATTGTACTATGATTTGCAGTATTTCAATATTATCGAACACGCTCTTTGTAGTCAGTATAACAATAATGCAGCTAATTATCTTGCTAATGATATATTGTTGGAATTAATGCAAGAAGATTTTCGTTTGTTTAAGACACCTTTGAATATTTGATATGAAATATGTTTGCTAAAGAATACATTGGTTTGAATCTTTGTCTGAACTTTGTCTTGAGTTATGAGGGGTTACAAGAGTCGCTGGAGACTACGACTCTCAAGGAGTAGCATACGAAGTCTTGAAAATTGGTGTAAGATAACCAAGTTACGTTAAGATGCCACAATAGCGTAGTTCACAACAATATCATTCACTTGGTTCATCATTTGAGTATCAGTTAGAGGTACTTCTGCGATGTTGACCCAAACACCCGCTAGATTTTTTTTTTGAGATATATACAAGAGTTGTTACATTCTTGTACAAGTACAAGTTGAAGAGACAACGACGTTTCGGTCCGTCCTGGACCATTACTAAGTCGATTTGAGATGACGTCTGAGATGTTTTCTTATTGTGAGCATCCAATGTTGGAAATGAATTAAGAACTTATGATATTAAACTTACAATAACCATCACTTGAAATGGAGGCGCGTTGCCAGCCACTGTACCATCTGTTTCAGTTATGCTTCTGTACGCTGCGCTATTGACGTCTCATTTACCTCCCAGACGACGACAACTGCCCAACCTGTGAGACGGTCCTGGCCGAACTGGAGACCATTGATGACGAGACGGACGAGGTGGGCATCCAGTTCGTCAAGACCAACGACGTGGAAGCGGCTGAAGAACTGGGCATCAGCCACCTGCCAGCCCTCGTGTACTTCGAGGGTGGCGTACCCAGCATCTATGATGGTAATTGACGGGGCACATGTTGGGGCAGCTTAATCCAAGACGTGCTGACGGGAGATATTAATCAATCAATTCTGCTTTGTTTACAAAATAGGATTAGATTTATGTTCTACTCTCCGGTACAACGAGTTTTCTCTAATATCTTCTGGCTCAGGAAGTGTTATTATTCCAATAATCACACGTGTTCCCCCCTTGCCTAGAACTAATATAGAAATAGGATATAATGATCTAAAATATCCTACAGTCGTGATGCTTAAGAGCATGCCACTCATAAGAGCGTAGTTAAATACTAGCATAGCATAGAGATACATTACAGAGATGAAGCTCAGTCATCACCCAATACACCTCCTGTATGTCTGTTGTCCGCAACATTTGCAAAGCAAAACAGGGACCAGTAATGTGGTTTTTTTTTTCGTGTTTTAGATTATCCTATTTTAAGTGCTAATAATGCTTAGCTATTGCATTGAAGACTTACCACAGCCCAGAGTGACCTGTGACCTCACTGGTGAACTATGCCCGCTCATTAGGTGACATCTGTTACATCCCCAGGTGACATCGCAGGGGGTGAGGCGGTCAGTGCTTGGCTTATAGCGGAGACACGTAAGCACACAGAGAGCTTTGTTGTTGTAGCTTGTCTTAGTAGGTGGGTCATGTCTCCCGGAAGGGTTCCTCTTCCTTCACCTCCTCCTCCTGTTCCACCTGTTCCTTCTGTTCCTCTTCCTTTTCCTTCTATTCCTCCTCCTTCCACTTGCTGCCGCTCTTGTCATAAAGCGTATTGGTGTCAGCTTGTGATGTATTTAGGACAATGGCGCATGCATTAGTTCCCTTCATAATATTTGTAAGTTTCTTTTAGAGGAATTGTGATGAGCGTGAAGGACTAGAGGTGAGGAGGAGGAGGCCATGGGAGGCAGTGTCCTTCATACATCATATGAACGATGGATATATGTATAATGCATAAGGTATTTTAGATGCAATACGAGGTGTCATTTGTTTTGAATACTGTATTATACAATAGCTCTTTTGAATCGTTTCATTATATATAAAACATTTTACGGTAAATATTTGTTTATAAATATATTATAAAGTGGCGTAATGTATCTAAAAAAAAAAAATATGATGACATTAAGGAAATATCTTACGAATTAATATCAATATTTTCGCAAATTTAAAAATATTTTGTCACAATTAAAAGGTCAACAGAGACTAATTCCTACATACCAAAAGTCATCAATTTAGGTGCTCACCAATGGTTGATCTTCAGCTCTTGGGTCCCCGGCTCTCAACCTTTTGAGATTTTGCTCAGACTCTGTTTGGATGAACGCGAATGATTAAATATTTAATACTTAATAATATATTTGGTTCTTTCAAAAAAGTAGTTGTAACTACTTCCTATAAGAACCTACGAGAAGTTGTTGTAGGTTAATATAATAAAAGTGTCTTTCATACAGCATATGAAAGATGGAAATACGTATAATGCATTATAATACATACTGCTTCTATAATGCAATCTAGATATAATTTAATCTATAAGCTATAATAATGTTTACCTTATCTATAATAATAATAATAATATAATCTATAATAGAGTATAATCTATAAACTCGTATAATGCAATATAATACATACTGCTTCTATAATGCAATCTAGATATAATTTAATCTATAAGCTATAATAATGTTTACCTTATCTATAATAATAATAATATAATCTATAATACAGTATAATCTATAAACTCGTATAATGCAATATAATACATACTGCTTCTATAATGCAATCTAGATATAATTTAATCTATAAGCTATAATAATGTTTACCTTATCTATAATAATAATAATAATATAATCTATAATAGAGTATAATCTATAAACTCGTATAATGCAGTATAATACATACTGCTTCTATAATGCAATCTAGATATAATTTAATCTATAAGCTATAATAATGTTTACCTTATCTATAATAATAATAATATAATCTATAATACAGTATAATCTATAAACTCGTATAATGCAGTATAATACATACTGCTTCTATAATGCAATCTAGATATAATTTAATCTATAAGCTATAATAATGTTTACCTTATCTATAATAATAATAATATAATCTATAATACAGTATAATCTATAAACTCGTATAATGCAGTATAATACATACTGCTTCTATAATGCAATCTAGATATAATCTAATCTATAAGCTATAATAATGTTTACCTTATCTATAATAATAATAATATAATCTATAATACAGTATAATCTATAAACTCGTATAATGCAGTATAATACATACTGCTTCTATAATGCAATCTAGATATAATCTAATCTATAAGCTATAATAATGTTTACCTTATCTATAATAATAATAATATAATCTATAATACAGTATAATCTATAAACTCGTATAATGCAATTTAACACATACTGCTTCTATAATGCAATCTAGATATAATTTAATCTATAAGCTATAATAATATTTACCTTATCTATAATAATAATATAATCTATAATACAGTATAATCTATAAACTCGTATAATGCAATTTAACACATACTGCTTCTATAACAAGTGGTAGACGAAGGCATATGACACCTTGTATCATTGCACAGAAGGTAAGGCGATGTATTTATACAACACGTAATACAAGAACCTTATCTCTCTGTTCGCCACTCCGTTAAAAATGCAACTGTTTAGCCAAACTACGAAAGTACGAACCTTTCGATGTATACCGTCAATATCACGAGGTTTGAATGTATATATATATACATTGCATTTGTAATGGATTGGACGAATCCGTTTGAAATGCGACGTATTAAGTGGGAGGACAGGTGTATTCATCATGATCTTTAACAAGGTAACTGAATCATCATTTCAGGGGTGCTAGAGAGTCCTGTGATGATCTTGAACCATCGCTACCTGTTAGGGGTTGATGAGGAAGGTGACAATGAAGGTGAGGAAGATGATGAGGGTGATGATGATGAAGCGGATGGTGATGATGATGACGAGAGCGGCAATAAGGCTGATACGGATCATGGTAAGAAAGATGGTGATGGTGGAGACAAGGATAAGGATGATGATGGTAAGGCTGATGATGATGATGACGATGATAATGATGGTAAGGTCGATGATGAGGATGATAATGATGGTAAGGTCGATGATGAGGATGATGGTAAGGTCGATGATGATGATAAGGCCGATGATGAGGAGGCTGATGAAGATAACGATGATAAGGCCGATGATGATACGGCCGATGATGATGGTAAGGCCGATGATAATGAGGACGATGATAAAGCCGATGATGACGATGATGATGAGGACGACGATGATGAGGACGATGGTGACGATGATGATGAGGACGGTGATGGTAAGGCCGATGATGATGAGGACGATGATGATGAGGACGATGATGATAAGGCCGAAGATGATGAGGACGATGATGATAAGGCCGATGATGATGACGATGATGATAAGGCCGATGATGATGAGGACGATGATGATGAGGACGGTGATGGTAAGGCCGATGATGATAAGGCCGATGATGATGAGGACGATGATGATAAGGCCGATGATGATGAGGACGATGATGATAAGGCCGATGATGATGAGGACGATGATGATAAGGCCGATGATGATGAGGGTGATGGTAAGGCCGATGATGATAAGGCCGATGATGATGAGGACGATGATGCTGAGGACGATGATGATGAGGACGGTGATGGTAAGGCCGATGATGATAAGGCCGATGATGATGAGGACGATGATAAGGCCGATGATGATGAGGACGATGATAAGGCCGATGATGATGAGGACGATGGTAAGGCCGATGATGATGAGGACGATGATAAGGCCGATGATGATGACGATATTGATGAGGACGATGATGATGAGGACGATGATGATAAGGCCGATGATGATGAGGACGATGATGATAAGGCCGATGATGATAAGGCCGATGATGATGAGGACGATGATAAGGCCGATGATGATGATGACGATGATGATAAGGCCGATGATGGTGAGGACGGTGATGATGAGGACGATGATGATAAGGCCGATGATGATGAGGACGATGATGATGATGAGGACAACGATGATGATAAGGCCGATGATGAGGACGATGATAATGATGATGAGGACGATGATAAGGCCGATGATGATGAGGCCGATGATGATAAGGCCGATGATGATGAGGACAATGATGATAAGGCCGATGATGATGACAATGATGAAAAGTCCGATGATGACAAGGCCGATGATGATGATGACAATGATGATAACGCCGATGATGATGATAAGGACGATGATGATAAGGCCGATGATGATGAGGACGATGATGATAAGGCCGATGATAAGGACGATGATGATAAGGCCGATGATGATGTGGACGATGATAAGGCCGATGATGATGAGGACGATGGTGATAAGGCCGATGATGATGATGACAATGATGATAAGGCCGATGATGATGAGGATGATGATAAGGCCGATGATGATGAGGACGATGATGATAAGGCCGATGATGATGAGGACGATGATGATAAGGTTGATGATGGTGAGGACGATGATGATAAGGCCGATAATGATGAGGACGATGATGAGGACGATGATAAGGCCGATGAGGATGATGATAAGGCCGATGATGATGAGGACGATGATGATAAGGCCGATGATGATGAGGACGATGATGATAAGGTTGATGATGGTGAGGACGATGATGATAAGGCCGATGATGATGAGGCCGATGATGATGAGGACGATGATGATGAGGACGGTGATGATAAGGCCGATGATAAGGTTGATGATGGTGAGGACGATGATGATAAGGCCGATGATGATGAGGCCGATGATGATGAGGACGATGATGATGAGGACGATGATGATAAGGCCGTTGATGATGAGGACGGTGATGATAAGGCCGATGATGGTGAGGATGATGATGATGAGGACGATGATGATAAGGCCGATGATGATGAGGACGATGATGATAAGGCCGATGATGATGAGGACGATGATAAGGCCGATGATGATGATGACGATGATGATGATAAGGCCGATGATGATGATGAGGACGATGATGATAAGGCCGATGATGATGATGAGGACGATGATGATAAGGCCGATGATGATGACGATAATAAGGATGATGATGAGGACGATGATCATGGTAAGGCCGAGGATGATGATGATATTAAGGCTGATGATGAGGACGAGGATGATGATAAGGCCGATGATGATGAGGACGATGATAAGGCCGATGATGATGATGATGATAAGGCCGATGATGATGATGATGATAAGGCCGATGATGATGAGGACGATGGTGATGAGGACGATGATGATGAGGACGGTGATGATAAGGCCGATGGTGATGAGGACGATGATGATAAGGCCGATAATGGTAAGGACGACGATAATAAGGATGATGATGAGGCCGATGATGATAAGGACGATGATGGTAAGGGTGATGATGATGAGGATGATGATATTAAGGCTGATGATGAGGACAATGATGATGTTGATGATATTAAGGCTGATAATGAGGACGATGATGATTCCGAGGAGGAAGATGACAAGGCCGATGATGAAGGTGACGAAGATGAAAATTATATCGGGACAAAGGCCACAGAAAATGGCCAAAACCAACTCGACGAAGTCGACGACATCGATGGCGAAGTCGACGACGAAGTAGACGAAGAAGCCACAAGGACGTCAGAGGGCGCAAGAGAAGAGGATTCCCGCGCTGAAGACAGTAAGGGCGGATGACGTCACTTGGCTATGTATTGATACCGTGTTTGAAGGTGTTTTGGGCCGTAATGTTTCCACACATATTTAGTTTATCCTTTCAAGTTCCGTCTTGTTGCTCTCTATCTCTCTCTCTCGAGGCCCTCGACGAGGAAGAGGCACTCGAAAACATCCCAGATTGGCAAAATAGAAGAGAATCTGCACGCGCTTCAATCCAGAGGCTTTGACACTTAACAGACGGCTTTTAGGCTCTGATAAACATATACAAATCACAAGCTTCTGAATGTCTCAGTTCTAACTTTCCAGTAACGTTCAGCTTACTTATTGGCGCTTGTCAGCACATCACCTTCATCCATCATTAAACTGTAGATTTAAGCATTATGACTGGATTAACTAGACTGTATCATATTAAAGAAGGAACTGACGTTTTCTGCACTCTTGGCTTCCCATAACCTTTAAGCAGTACCACTTAGTAGATAAGACATCCACTAACCTTCCCGAATCTAAGACTCCCTGGAGGCTGATAGCGACATGCTCAGTGTAGTAGCAGCATCCCCCTGCATCTCTGCTGATAGATCTGCAGTTATCTATACACACGATAATTATCTTGGTCCTTTTTGGACCATCTTTAACTCTTGGATATCGTGCATGTATATATGTGTGTGTGTGTGTGTGTGTGTGTGTTGATTTAATAGATTTTTGTTGTCTAATTGTTATTTAACTGCATGAATTATTCAACCTAAGCATTATGTATGTATCATTCATTATGGATTGTAGTTATTAAGGCTTTTAGTAGCTGCTGGATAATGCTGCACAGCTACTAAGGATGTGTTCTTGATGCATGCGTCGGAGGCAGGAGGAATGCATGTGGTGGGAGGGGACGTCTGGGAAGTGAGCCCTGCACATGTCTTGTCCGGGGAAGGAGGAATGTGGGAGGGGGTGTGTGGGAAGTGAGGCCTGCACATGTCTTGTCGGGGGAAGGAGGAATGTGGGAGAGGGTGTGTGGGAAGGGAGCCCTACACATGTCTTGTCCGGGGAAGGAGGAATATGGGAGGGGGTGTGTGGGAAGGAAGTGAGGCCTGCACATGGACCGTTGGGCGGTGAAGGATATATGCAGATCGGTTTTGTGTAATCTGGAACAGACACAGTGACGTCGCGAGTGCTTATACCCTGAAGGGACTCGGTCATATTGCAAGCTGCCACGACCTTCCAGTGTCTTATGGACATGCAGTACAATATTATGTCTCGCAGCCATCTGGCTCTTATGTTACGGGGATAGACATACATCTTGGGCTCTTTATCGTTGACGAATTTCGTATATAAAAGTCTCCCCAGAATATTGATTAGTTCGTCAATTTTATGTCGTATTCTACAACATATGTTATTGAGAATTTTTATTTTCATTGTTTAATTTGTATTTATTTGGAATTAAATATAAGTACAATATATTTTTGTCCAGGGTTTTCGCAAATAAATCTTCGATTATATTAGGTAATTTTGGAAGATATTAAACAGTATTTCATTTATGCTCTTAGAATTCCATTTCCTGGTGATTTTGTGAGCCCATTGTGTAAGCCAAACAGAATTGATCTTTGCAGAGCAGGATAGGAAATTCTTCAACTATTTAGCAAGGTTTATTATTTTACCCAAAAACTACAGACGCAAACGAGCACGAATCCACAATATGCCAGGATCGCGAGAGATACTTTCCGTGACACTCGAAGATATAATGGCTTCTCGGTTCTGCGAAGTACATGTAAGAGCCACTTACTGGGGACGTTCGAAGGTATCATGGCGTGTAGGTTCTGCGAAGTACATGTAAGAGCCACTTACTGGGGACGTTTGAAGGTATCGCGTCTAGGTACTGCGAAGTACATGTAAGAGCCACTTACTGGGGAAGTTTGAAGGTATCGCGTCTAGGTACTGCGAAGTATATGTAAGAACCACTTACTGGGGACTTTGAAGGTATCACGGCGTCTAGGTTCTGCGAAGTGCACATCTATCGGAACCGAAGCTGCTGTCAGCATTTACTGATTACCGTGTACGTGTGTGTGTGTACAGGTGACATCCAGGCGGAGGAGGAGGTGCTGGAGTGGCTGATCGAACAGCGTCACGAGGACACCATCGAAAACATCAACCGCCAGATGCTCTACACCCTCATCGACACCCAGGACTACCTCGCCGTCTACTTCTGTGAGCTTCTACGAACTCCTCTTCTTCCACGCTCGTCTACCTCTAGTTTCTTAACTCTATATTCAATATACTGATGCTGGATAATTCCAATATTGTCTGTAAACAAAATTATAAATAAATATGGTGGTTATTATCCAAATGAAGAAATAATTTTCCTGTGATGTTCCATCGTTTGGTGTCTTTATAGTCAACGAAGAGAACGACGAGTGCCCGAAGGTGCTGAGGGTGCTGGAGAAGATCGATGATGAGGCTGCTGAGTATGGCATCCAGATGGTCAAGATGAACGACAGACTCATGGCCAAGAAGTACGGCTTCAGGAATCCCCCGGGCCTTGTTTACTTCAGAAAGGCCAAACACATTAAGTACGACGGTACGTCATATAGTACAGTACTCACCACTAAGACAGTGCTTCACAGTATACTTATCTGTAAGCTGGTTGTGTGAATGTGTGTACGAAGTCATTTATAAAGTCATTTGTTACTGCAGGCATACTGTATGGCCACACCTGGCAATGACAGCATTGCCAGGTGTAATGAACATTTATAAAGCCATGTGTTCCTGCAGGGGATTTGTACGACGACGAGGATGTGCTTGACTGGCTCACCGCCCCAGAGAACATGGAACTCAATGACGCAATTGAGAAGGTCAACCGCAAGATGTTCGAGAGGATCCGACAGACCACAGACTACCTTGCTGTCTTCTTCTGTGAGTGTATTGTCTTCACTAGGCGTATTCACTGTCATCTTTGTACAGTTTAGTGCTAGTGTCACTACATGATTGGTATCTGGTTGTTTTTTCTTGTGATACGGGGGCTTCTCTGCGATATCTGTTCATATTGCAAGCACTCCTCTGCGATATCTATTCATATTGCAAGCACTCCTCTGCGATATCTGTTCATATTGCAAGCACTCCTCTGCGATATCTGTTCATATTGCAAGCACTCCTCTGCGATATCTATTCATATTGCAAGCACTCCTCTGCGATATCTGTTCATATTGCAAGCACTCCTCTGCGATATCTATTCATATTGCAAGCACTCCTCTGCGATATCTATTCATATTGCAAGCACTCCTCTGCGATATCTGTTCATATTGCAAGCACTCCTCTGCGATATCTGTTCATATTGCGGGTACTCCTCTGCAAGCTCTATTCATATTGCAGGCACTCCTCTGCAAGCACTTATGATATTTAGCAGGCATATATTTTATGTAAAAGGTATTTCTTATTTCATATTATCATGTATTAATACTAGTATTTCTGAGCCTATGATGATCACACAGACTCGGAGGAAGGGTGCAAGCAGTGCCAGAAGGTCCTTGCCGAGCTGGAGAACATCGACGACGAAGCCGATGCCAACGGCATTGACTTCGTGAAGATCGACGACGCCGAGCTGGCGAAGGAGGTCGGTGTTTACGCCCTCCCCGCCATCGTCTTCTACCGCGCTGGCGGCGACGATCCCATTATTTACGCGGGTACGTGGGTGTTAAGAGAAGGTAGAGTTGCCCTAGGGTAGGTGTGGAAGGGGTGGAGCAACTCTGAGGTAGGTGTGGAAAGGGTGGAGCAACTCCGAGGTAGGTGTGGAAGGGGTGGAGTATCTGAGGTAGATGTGGAAGGGGTGGAGCAACTCCGAGGTAGGTGGGGAGTGGTTAAATCCGTTGTAGGGTAGGTTGGGGGGGGTGGGGGGGTAGGAGGCGGAGCAGCCCTAGAGGGATAGATGGAGAGGACATGTAACAACGTGAGGGTAGGTGGAGAGGGGATGTAAACCTTAAGCTAGCTGGGGAATGGGTAGATCAGTTTTTAAGCGGGGGAGGAATTGTAGGAGCTCTCTACAATGTATAACAGAGAAGTAAGAATTAAAGACCAGTTCTAAAGCAAAATGAGATCATAGAATATTTCTTTTCTCTCGTATATGGACATCCATATTTCTGTCTATAAATATTGGTGAGGAAATAGGTTTCAGCTAGTGAAATACAGTTCGTGTGTGCGATGTATATATATTTATGGTCACATAAATCTGCTGTCGAAATGAAGTTGGTGTGTATCATTTACTCGATATACAACTAAAACTAACAATATGCTTTTGCAATAGGGTCTACTGTAGTCCTGATGTATTTTCCTTGAGCTTGCTTGACCTCGCTGATTCAATACAACCCACTTAGAGGCTTGCTGGTTTAGATATTGATCAAAGTACTAATTGTTATGATAAAATGAAAATATGTCATGATTTTTATCTAACATCTCTTCATCATCAGATTGCATTAGCAATTAAGTCAACTTGATTTTAATTTCTTTATCTGTAGGATTTTTAAGACCATTAGCATGTAAATTGCTTCTGATAGGCAGCCCATCTGCCACAACTGACAAGTGAAGTGTTTTATAGGAGCAAGCTCCTAGTAATTATTTATAATATTCATCTTAGTATAGAAGCTGTGAGAATTAATTCGATCATAACATTCCAAAGCAGGTAGGAAATATATTGACTTGAAACCTAGATCTATCAGTAGCCTAAAGATACTAATTGTGAATTGTAACTCATTTACAAAATAATTTTGTCTATCAATAGTTTTATTCAAGTAAGTAGTAGTATAACTGATATTGCTGATGTGTTAGAAGACCATCCATTAATATGTAAGACAATTTTTATGGTATGTTTCTGAAGAATTGCACAAATATTAAATACGGTACAGTATTATATCCCTGGAAACACAAACCGAAACTCTCTATTTACCGCTTGTTACAACTTGTAATAAAGTTGTTACATCTTGGCTTAACGTGTTTATGACGTATTAGAACGTTGTTACAACTTGCTATATTGGTTGTTATAACTGGTTACGGGTTAACACTTGTTCGAACGTTGTTCGAACGTCGTAGTTTCGGTGTGTGTTTGGCGGGTATAGCCTATAGCTAGTTTTAAGCAATGAACATTCGCCAATAATTTATATATTGATTTATTATTCCTTGTTTGGCGTTAACCCGATCGACGACCCATCACCAGGTGGTAGGTCAACCAGACTTCGAGTGCCTCTTCCTTCACGCCTGTAGTTGTATCTTTGGCTCGAATCCTGAAGCTTTAACTCGAGGGTCAATGTTTTATCCTCTCGTCAACTATTCATTCAGAGATCAACGATTCTTAGATCATGAGCTTTACCGATCCGAAAGACGGATCTTGCAGATCCTTTGTTTCAATATTATTGTTAAATGATTTAGTAAATTATTGATCCTTGAGGCAAAGACTTGGGATGGTGTTGTAGGACTGTTACCTGTCATGGCATGACTATACTGTTCTTGTTCATCTGTAGAATTATCACCCTCTCTTGATGAAATGACACAGTTTATTGGATAATCGATTTAGTGTTGAAATAATGAAATGTTGTAATGATGTAAGGGGCGTAGAGGGAGAACGGCCTATTGACATAGCTCGGGTGCAGGGGGGAGTTGTGTAAAATCCTGGTTTGTGTCTCGGAGAGGCTACGGGATCCAGTAAGTTCAGTAGAACTTCGGTTTCAACTCTTTTACCCTGTCGTAGCTCAGTCGATTAAGGCAGTGTCTGGGATGCTCCCGGACGCAGGTTCGAATCCTCGTAACGGCCCTTGTGGATTTGTTCATTAGTGTTGAAAATTTCTTCCCTATAACGAAAATTGGAGCATTTCCCTATATTGGTAGGATTATTGTCCATGTGTGGTAGTACTGGTGGGATAAAGGAGAACTACTTTAATTAAATGAATGAATGGAGTTTTTTATTTTTTAATTATTAGGGGAAAGGGCCAAGCCATTACGACTTTATAGCACTTGGAAGGGATCAGAATAAGGATTTGGGATGGGACGGGGTGGAAGGAATGGTGCCCAACCACTTGGACGGTCGGGGATTGAACTCCGACCTGCATGAAGCGAGATCGTCACTCTACCGTCCACTCAAAGTGGCTTATGGGGGAATGAATAGAGTGTGCTGATAGTATCACATTGCAGGCGATGAGTCACAATAACGTGGCTAAAGTAACTTGACCAGATCACACACTAGAAGGTGAAGGGACGACGACGTTTCGGTCCGTCCTGGACCATTCTCAAGTCGATTTCGCAGTCGACTTGAGAATGGTCCAGGACGGACCGACACGTCGTCGTTCCTTCACCTTCTAGTGTGTGATCTGGGCAACTAGTATAACATTATCATGATCCTACGTTTCATTTCCTTTTTTTTACTCTAAACCCATTTTCGTATTTGGTTGCACCGTTTCATCAACTTTATTACCCGATGTGTGTTATAATTCCTTAAGTTATATTCTCTTTCCTGCACATGCAAGTTCTTACTGTTGCATCTTAACGAGTGTATTATACGAGTCTCCCCTTGGCATGACTTTAAGGGCTATTCATGCCCGTGCCACCTCTTGGGTGGCTTAATCTTTATCAGTCTTGGCATGACAGCATTGCCAGTTGTTTCGAGTACACAAGATGGGTCAAGATGGCATCAAGTTACCCCAAATATGAGGCTTCATCTCTGTGTGACCCAGTGTCACACATTCTGACCCTGCATGACCTATTGAACATTGGCAGTAATACCTGATCTTCCTGAGCATGGAAACTCCAAACTTTTGCACGCAATTCACATAAACGTTCCTTGGATGTCTAAATTTCTTTGCTGTTGTATATATATATATTGTAGCATTTCCCATTGTTTTAATGTTTCATTATATTCATAAAACAATAACTGAGTAATTGTTTTGATTTGTGGACTTAATGGATTGCAATGAGACAAGTGTATAATTGATATAGTAGTCATGATATAGCTGTTTCGAAAAGGTAGTGTGGAATTGTTTTCATACGCCCAACTTGAAGTACGAGACACAATCACTTCCATCATATGAGGGGAGTGTGTGATAGGTTTAAACTCATCGGACATTGACCTTGATGATTGCTTCTTCCTGTTACTCCGTTAATTGAACTTTGTCGGCCACAGGTGACATGAAAAATGAAGAGAATCTTCTATCATGGCTACTGACGGAGAAGGATCCAACTGCGGACTTCATCGAGGACATGGAAGGCGCGGCACTCCAGCGAGTCATCCGAGATTCTGACGCCATTGCTGTTTATTTCTGTGAGTCAAACTTCCTCATGTTGTGCATAACATTATTCGCTTATCTCCTCCTGGTCTTATCTCCTCCTGGTCTTATGTCATGAGTCACTTAACTCTTTATAAGTGAGAGAATAGCGTTCTTTTCCTCTCATAATTCATCAACTCGATATCGAAAGGAAGTTGGAAGAAACTCTGTTAGGTCTTCCAACCTAAGAAGACCTGTTATCTGTTATCGTAATAAGTTCATGTTTGACACGAAATTTTACATGTTGGAATAATCTACAATTTCCACACCGACAGGTTGTAATTGCCGATGTATAATATTTCTTATCTGTATTAATAATTTTTTTTGGTAAAATGGCATTATGATGTGCTGTGATTCACTTGTTATTAATTCAGATAAATATTGTCATTTGGCGTATCTTATATAACATTTTGCAAATAATTATAAAGTGTAATTTTATTAGTAGTATTATTCAATATAAATATAGTTTTTATAAGTGGACGCTGCTCAAACGTGCAAGCAATTTAATAGTAGTAGGCATCCATCAGTCTCAGGAGACTATGGAGTTGCGCTCTGGTTGTCGGTCTGGAGTGGCCTCTCCAGGGCGCAAAGCCAGGGTAGGTTGACACAGAGGAGAAGCTGTTACCCAGGCAGCAGGTCCCCTTCTCCACGGCGCCGAAAGTCTCCAATAGAAAGGCAAACGCCAATACTATTGCTTCCAGCACCGTCACAGGAACTGTCAGAACGAGGTTGAAGGCAACAAGGAACTGCCTCCCGGGGGCTCCAACTCCGGAGTTTATCTCGAAGTTGGTAAAAGAATGCCAGTGACGCCAAACCCGGAGACCGCCGTGGTCGGGGCCGGAGAAGAACCACCCCAGCAAGGGCAAGAACGACCCCAATCTCCTGAAGCAGAGCCTGGGGGGCCGCACGAGCCCCAGGAGGTGGACGTCCCGGTCCCGCACCTACGGGTTCCTGACAGAGGTCGTCACAGCCCTCTTTCACCCGAGGCCGACTTCCTTCACGAAGGAAGCAGAAGGAAGATTCTTCTGCCTTCTTCTGCCAGAAGAAGGCAGAAGATATTACATCCTCCTTACAGAAGGAGGATGTAATATATATTAATTACAGCAATTATTATTATAATTAGTATTATTATAATAACACAAATAATTAAAAATTATTTCTCCTTCTGCTGAGTCATGAAGGAAGTCGACCTCGAGTGAATTGAGAAAGTGACACTAGGCTTCTCAAGAGGTTTTCTTATTCTTGAAGTGGCTGACGCCTGTCACAAGTGACATGATCTAGTGAGTAAGCTATGATGGCTGTTGAAAACCTACCTTCCAAAATATGAAAGAACAATTGTTCTGGAAGAGTTGAACACCCATAGATCCCAATTTTGAAGAGCAATTTTCGAAGGATTTGGAAATTTACTACACGAATTTGAAAGAAGAATTTTGGAAAAATTTTGAACAATATCGAAGGTTTGAAAAACCTATCTACCAGATTTTTAGAATAATTATCGACGGTTAGTTTTTTTTTTGCCATCTGCAATAAAGCTGGCATTTTTTTGCCTCTATTTTTGCTATACATTTTAGTCTCTCAAAAGGAACCTAATAACTAGTTTTTGCCCAAATGGAAAGCGGCGTTTCGCTTAAATTTCCATTTCAATTTTAATATAATTTTGTGCAGCACTTATTTGAACCAACTTAGCGAGCGGTAATTGGCAGCTGTGCTGAAACTGATTTTCTATTCTCTATGCACTAATGTTATTTCCACTGGCATGAATAGCTCTGTTGACTAGTTAAAAAACATATAAAATCAGCTTTTGTTTATTATAAAAAGCACCAAACCCTGATTGACGTTACCCTTCCACTGTCTCCTTGAAGACGACTTAGCTGCTTGTGGCTGTCCCGACCCGGAGACTCAGACTGACAAGAAAAAGAAGAAGAAAAAGAGGGGCAAGACAGAGGTTCCAGCAGAAGAAACAAGTGAAAACATAGCAATTGTTTTGTTGTTATTTACATATTTTTTTTCTCTCCTAGACGTAAATTCCTGCCTCAAAAGCCCTCTATCCACTTCCCCCCCTCCCCCTGTTCTCCACCGTAAAACATATATATATACTGTGTTTCTAAGTGGTGTAGGGACGATCGCCACGGCCTGTATATTATAATTACGAGAACTCAGATCTTACGGTCGTACTAATTTACGTTCTTACATCAACAAAGCCGGTGGATTGATCGGCTGTGCATTCGAAGTACAAGAACGCAATTACTCTATGTTGTTTTTCTTGTCTTTGCATTGATAAAAGCATTATTTATATTGCGTATCACCGGGATCTAAGTTCTCCTCAGTAGGTCTGCAAAAACTTAACTCCATCGAACACATGACTAGTTCATACAAGAGAAGTAGCTCACAGCTCACTCACCATCTTCGCCAACTGACGCCAATAATGTTGTATAATCCAGTGTATATATATATATATATATACTAGCCCTCAACTGATACATACATACGTATGTAGGATTAACACGGTTGTGTTATTTTAGTGTATAACATGTAGAGAATAATGTGTGTGGCTTTTATGTATTTAGGAGAGTATTCTGTGGTGTTGTGCATGGATAGTGAGCTGACAGTAGACAAGCTGCATGAAATAATCATTCTTGTGAAATTTTGTTATCTCACAGAAGTCTTTGTCATGAGAATAATTGTCATTATTAAATTGTTCTTCGCCTTGAATTGATGTGTAAAGTGAAATGTTCAATCCCGTGTTTGCTTAGCTCAATAAATCAAAGTAACACAAAAGTTTAACCTCTTTAAAATGTGTTAATGTTTTGTCTATTCACAAGTACACACACACACACACACACACACACACACACACACACACACACACACACACACACACACACACACACACACACACACACACACACACACACACACACACACACACACACACACACACACACACACGCACACACAAACACAAACACACACACACACACACACACACACACACACACACACACACACACACACGTGTGTGGGAGCCGAACGGCCCAGCGGACAGCACGCTGGATCCTGTGGTCCCGGGTTCGATCCCGGGCGCCGGCGAGAAACAATGGGCAGAGTTTCTTTCACCCTATGCCCCTGTTACCTAGCAGTAAATAGGTACCTGGGAGTTAGTCAGCTGTCACGGGCTGCTTCCTAGTGTGTGTGTGGTGTGGAAAAAAATAGTAGTAGTAGTAGAAACAGTTGATTGACAGTTGAGAGGCGGGCCCAAAGAGCAGAGCTCAACTCCCGCAAACACAACTAGATGCACACACACACACAACACACACACATATATATATGACAATGTCAGACCACGGAGGAAAAATGAAACAGGAATTTCCTTAAGTACTTTCGTATATTAAATACATCTTCAGAAGGTCCTTCTGAAGATGTATTTAATATACGAAAGTACTTAAGGAAATTCCTGTTTCATTTTTCCTCCGTGGTCTGACATTGTCACATTCTTAATCACGTGTTTATTTTCGTGATATACACACACATATATATATAAATATATATATATATAATATATAGAATTTATATATATATATATAAATTTGGCTTAGATGTGTCGTTACGTCGTGTTTAATAGAATGTCAGGGAATAATAGTGAAGTAGAGTTACTTGTGGTCAGAGTAAGATTAACCGACCATTGTCCTGTCATATGCGACACTTAACACCCTCTGCAATACTGGCTTAGGCTTTTGGGCTTTTCAAGGCTGATGTACACAATCTATTTTTTTCCCACCCCCATGATGCCAGATGGGAATTAAGTGGATGTTTGTTGTATTCGTTCAAGATGTGTGAAATGCTTCAAGGCGGGCCAGTTCTTGTCGTCCTGTGTGCTATGTTGTTAGGCTGTTATGTGCAAGAAATTAACTGCCAGTTCCTAGTAATTCATGTTATAACATTCACATTTTGTTGGTCTGATGTTCTAGAACATAATTTTGGTTGTTTGGTTTGTAAATTTGTACTTTGGTAGGCCTATGTTAGGTTGGTAGGCCTATGTTTGGTTGGTTGAAGAATTGACACTATAGCAGGCAACCCGTCCTCAGACCAGGCTCGTTAAAGCTGCAGCCAAGACGCATTCGTCAGTTTTAACATATTATGTACAATATTTAAAATAAATTTGTTCTCATTTATCTATTAATATTATTATATATTAAGATTCTGTGTATAGTTAGGCATAGGATTTTTGGTTGAGTTTGGTGATTATTTTGCATTTGAAGTACGTGGGTGAAGCATTTACGACGCGGCTGCTCGTGAATCACAGCCTGGTTGATCAGGTAGCCTTTGAGAATGTTTATCGAGTTCTCGTTTGAACAGTGTAAGAGGTCGGCCAGTTGGACATAGACGGAAAGTGCTGAAAAGTCTTGGGGTTTGTTGATAAAGAGTTCAGTCACAACACTCTCAACGTGAATCATAGCGCCTGGCTTTGTTCATGTTTTTCTGGGCCTCTGTCAGTACACTTATGATTTGACTTAACCTTCATCCTCTCTCTCTCTTACACACATTCACACTCACTCTCATGCTCACACACACATTCACACTCACTCTCATGCTCACACACACATTCACACTCACTCTCATGCTCACACACACATTCACACTCACTCTCATGCTCACACACACATTCACACTCACTCTCATGCTCACACACACATTCACACTCACTCTCATGGTCTCACACACACATTCACACTCACTCTCATGGTCTCACACACACATTCACACTCACTCTCATGCTCACACACACATTCACACTCACTCTCATGCTCACGCACACATTCACACTCACTCTCATGGTCTCACACACACATTCACACTCACTCTCATGCTCACACACACATTCACACTCACTCTCATGCTCTCACACACATTCACACTCACTCTCATGCACTCACACACATTCACACTCACTCTCATGCTCTCACACATTCACACTCATGCTCACTTTGATCTTCAGTTTCCATAGCATAATGGTTGGGTTTACTGTGTATTAGGCCCATTGTTATGCTCATTGGGCCTAATCAGCTCATTGTAGCTGATAAACATGTTGGGAACTTGTGCCATTCCTATGGTAGGTCTGAATATGCCTAATCTATCGAAAAAAGCTGCATTCATAGCTCTTTACATTAGGCTTGCTTTTCAACTTCGTAGTTAAGCTGAAAAACACTTTCTAGAATCTCTTGTTGAAATTTTCACACACTTCCTTGTTATTCTCTGTGTACATGTCTTAGGAAAGGATAGACATATCAGCCAGAAGCATAAATAATGAATATGAGGTATGAGATAATCCATCTTATAAGATTGTGTCAAGCAATGTATATTTTTCACATGTGGTATAGTGACTTGCTTTATAATATTATTGGAACATCGTATCTGACAGAATGGCGATGGTTAGGATAATTTTGATAATTTTCGATTTTTGGGAATGTTTTGGGGTAACTATATTTTGGGCGATGAGTCACAATAACGTGGCTAAAGTATGTTGACCAGATCACACACTAGCAGGTGAAGGGACGACGACGTTTCGAAATCGACTTGAGAATGGTCCAGGACGGACCGAAACGTCGTCGTCCCTTCACCTTCTAGTGTGTGGTATGGTCATCAATATATTTTGGGATCATTTAGGAATTTATGAAACGTGGGAATCAGTCGTTTGTGTATGAACGCAGCTCCTAATGCCTAATTCAAATTCAAATACATGTGATTCATAAATGTTTCTTGTGTACATCTATTATTGGATCAGTTTACACAAATTTACAGTAAATTATTTACCGCTCTTCCCCCACAGTTTTAAAATGCAAGCAGAAAGTAACTTTAAAGTGTTCAAATATAATCTACACGTTTCAGAACATTGATATCCAACATAATCCTTGTGTTCTTAACCTAGTTCTTGTTCTCCTCAGTTTATTGCCATAAGTTGTAATGATATAATCAAGTATTTTATAACTGGACATTATACAAGTGTTATTGTTTCGTAAATTTATGAAAGATATAATGCGTTGTTGTTTAGAGTATTGGGAATATGTTTAAGAATGACAAATGATAATTTTGTTTACGTTTTACTAGAAGATAAAATAGTATTAATTTTTTAGGCAAAAGGGAAATTTAAATCATTAGCAGCAGAGAGGCTTATGCCAGCGGGTAATTTGAGCCGCTCAATGTGCCATTGTTCTGTGGTGTTCTACTGTTCTGTGGTGTACTCCTGTACTATGATGTACCCCTGTACTGTGGTGTACTCCTGTACTATGATGTACCCCTGTACTGTGGTGTACTCCTGTACTATGATGTACCCCTGTACTGTGGTGTACTCCTGTACTATAATGTACCCCTGTACTGTGGTGTACTCCTGTACTATGATGTACCCCTGTACTGTGGTGTACTCCTGTACTATGATGTACCCCTGTACTGTGGTGTACTTCTGTACTATGATGTACCCCTGTACTGTGGTGTACTCCTGTACTATGATGTACCCCTGTACTATGGTGTACTTCTGTACTATGATGTACCCCTGTACTATGGTGTACTCCTGTACTATGATGTACCCCTGTACTGTGGTGTACTCCTGTACTATGATGTACCCCTGTGCTATGGTGTACTCCTGTAAATGCCTGTAGCACCTTTCCTGCAGTTATGCCAATAATCAGTATCTTCCCTCTCATCGCGAATGGCCTGCAGACACCGAAGACTCGAGCTGCGAGTCGTGTATGCAGGTGCTGGAGGAGCTGGAGAACATCGATGACGACACCGACCGCATCGGTGTGAGCTTCGTCAAGACTCAGGACACCAATGTCGCTGAGCGGTATGGCGTCACCAGCCTCCCGGCCCTGCTATACTTCGAGCACCAGGTGCCCACGGTGTATGAGGGTATGTAGTGGGTGTATCAGGTCCTTGTCCTGTAGTGGGTGTATCAGGTCCTTGTCATGTAGTGGGTGTACCAGGTCCTTGTTATGTAGTGGGTGTATCAGGTCCTTGTCCTGTAGTGGGTGTACCAGGTCCTTGTTATGTAGTGGGTGTATCAGGTCCTTGTCCTGTAGCGGGTGTATCAGGTCCTTGTCATGTAGTGGGTGTACCAGGTCCTTGTCCTGTAGTGGGTGTACCAGGTCCTTGTCCTGTAGTGGGTGTACCAGGTCCTTGTCCTGTAGTGGGTGTATCAGATCCTTGTCCTGTAGTGGGTGTACCAGGTCCTTGTCCTGTAGTGGGTGTACCAGATCCTTGTCCTGTAGCGGGTGTACCAGGTCCTTGTTATGTAGTGGGTGTATCAGGTCCTTGTCCTGTAGTGGGTGTACCAGGTCCTTGTCCTGTAGTGGGTGTACCAGGTCCTTGTCTTGTAGTGGGTGTACCAGGTCCTTGTCTTGTAGTGGGTGTACCAGGTCCTTGTCCTGTAGTGGGTGTACCAGGTCCTTGTCTTGTAGTGGGTGTACCAGGTCCTTGTCATATAGTGGGTGTCCTGTAGTGGGTGTACCAGGTCCTTGTCCTGTAGTGGGTGTACCAGGTCCTTGTCATGTAGTGGGTGTACCAGGTCCTTGTCATGTAGTGGGTGTACCAGGTCCTTGTCATGTAGTGGGTGTACCAGGTCCTTGTCATGTAGTGGGTGTACCAGGTTCTTGTCATGTAGTGGGTGTATCAGGTCCTTGTTATGTAATGGGTGTACCAGGTCCTTGTGATGTAGTGGGTGTACCAGGTCCTTGTCATGTAGTGGGTGTATCAGGTCCTTGTTATGTAATGGGTGTATCAGGTCCTTGTCCTGTAGTGGGTGTATCAGGTCCTTGTCCTATAGTGGGTGTATCAGGTCCTTGTCCTGTAGTGGGTGTACCAGGTCCTTGTCCTGTAGTGGGTGTACCAGGTCCTTGTCTTGTAGTGGGTGTACCAGGTCCTTGTCATGTAGTGGGTGTACCAGGTCCTTGTCATGTAGTGGGTGTACCAGGTCCTTGTCATGTAGTGGGTGTAGCAGGTCCTTGTCCTGTAGTGGGTGTACCAGGTCCTTGTCTTGTAGTGGGTGTACCAGATCCTTGTCTTGTAGTGGGTGTACCAGGTCCTTGTCCTGTAGTGGGTGTAAAAGGTCCTTGTCCTGTAGTGGGTGTACCAGATCCTTGTCATGTAGTGGGTGTACCAGGTCCTTGTCATGTAGTGGGTGTAGAGTGGGGACCTATATAAGCCTAAGTATAATCTTATTCTCCCCGACAACGGGGAACCATTAAGCAAATATTACCTAATACCTCTCTAACTTACGTAAAAAAAAAACAATTGCAAGAAATTCAAGTTTAATGAAAGATTGTGTATATAGGTGACCTTCTGGCGGAGGAGGAGGTGCTCCAGTGGCTGACCCTGCAGAAGACGGAGGACACCATTGAGACCGTCAACAGGAACATGCTGGAGGTCATGCTGGAAGACACTCAGTACCTCGCTGTCTTCTTCTGTGAGTAACCACACACACACATTTTCTCAAGTTTTATAAACACCTTAAAGTTTCTCCCTTCATTGTATATATTTGTGTATTTTTCTTTAGTATCTCGCCTGTTTTCAACTCTATATAAAACGGAGCTAGGGAAAAATAGTGTGTTTTATTATATATATATATATATATATATATATATATATATATATATATATATATATATATATATATATATATATATATATATATATATATATATATATATATATATATATATATATATATATATATATATATAAAACTTCCCGTTGCATTTTTAGTGTTTCCATACCAGAGTGGTTCTAGTCTGTAGAGTTAACTCACAACCGACTGGTCCTGGGTTTGATTCCTTGGCAGGGTGCGATGTTTGCCCACATTTCCTTCGAACCAATGCCTCTCTTTACCAGTAAATAGGTACCTAGGGGTTAGTTGATTGTTGTGGGTTGCATCTAGGGAAATAGCGAGCTATTGGCCTAGGAGGTTATCTTGAGATGATTTCGGGGCTTTTTAGTGTCCCCGCGGCCCGGTCCTCGACCAGGCCTCCACCCCCAGGAAGCAGCCCATGACAGCTGACTAACACCCAGGTACCTATTTTACTGCTAGGTAACAGGGACATAGGGTGAAAGAAACTCTGCCCATTGTTTCTCGTTCTAGGAGGATCTAGGTAAAATTAGCAGACTTCCTTGCCCCCCGACAGCGAAGACAAGATCCAGGAATCACAGAGCACTTAGGTGGTCTCTTACGGAGTGTGTGTACCTCTTAACCTCCATAACGACGTCTTAGTACAGTTTTCCAGCTTCTAAGTGCTACGAGCTCAACCACATTGCCCATGACATTACTGTCATGGGCATCTTGCTTACTAGATATCTACGACACATCCATGCACAAGGTAAGAGGTACAGATCCCTTAATGGGACATTCAAGTGTCTTTTGTGAATAACCTGTAACTTCATTGGTACCGTATCGTCCCTCCCAGATAAACCGAACTGCCGGGCGTGCGACACAGTGCTGGCCGAACTGGAGAACATCGACGACGAGTGCGACTTGTATGGCATACACATGGTGAAGATCCAGGACGCCCAGCTGGCCAAGCGATACGGCATCAAGACCCTGCCGGCCCTTATCTACTTCAGGAACGGCAACCCTCTTATCTTCGACGGTCAGTGTCTCTCCTTCTGAGTCTCTTGACTCTCCAATGGCCAGTGTCTCCTTCTTTGTCTCTTTCTCTCTTCAACAGTCAATGTCTATCCTTGGTCTCGTTCTCTCTACAACAGTCAATGTCTGTCCTTGGTCTCGTTCTCTCTACAACAGTCAATGTCTCTCCTTGGTCTCGTTCTCTCTACAACAGTCAATGTCTGTCCTTGGTCTCGTTCTCTCTACAACAGTCAATGTCTCTCCTTGGTCTCGTTCTCTCTTCAACAATCCGTGTGTCTCCTTGTGTGGTATTCTTTCTCTATTCCATTGTTTATATTTTTCTCAAATTCCTCTATTTGCATGTAGTCTAGTACACAGAAACCAAGAAACTCTTAACTTTCTAGACTTTTGAGGTAAAGTTATATTTGTCGAATTGTTATTTTTGCGTATCAAGTTAATCACGTAAAAATTTAAATATCAACTAAATACCCTCGTAAAAACAAATGATAACATTATTACTATCAATAATAATAATAATGCAATACTTTTAGGTTTTAAATTTGAAATAATAAATCTTGGTGAACCGGATTTAGTTTTAAGGAATGAAGTAACGGAGTTGATGGCTTCCAATAGTCTTGATGCTTCATTGGATTTATACCACGCTCGTTAAACCACTAGCATAAGGTTATGTTGTTGACATATGTTGTGTTATGTTGTGACAAACGTCATTGTGGTGAGTCCTGGGTTAGTATTGTGAGTCCTGGAGAGAACATTGTGGTAGGGTCAGTATTGTGAGTCCTGGAGAGGACGTTGTGGTAGGGTCAGTATTGTGAGTCCTGGAGAGAACATTGTGGTAGGGTCAGTATTGTGAGTCCTGGAGAGGACGTTGTGGTAGGGTCAGTATTGTGAGTCCTGGAGAGGACGTTGTGGTAGGGTCAGTATTGTGAGTCCTGGAGAGGACATTGTGGCAGGGTCAGTGTTGTGAGTCCTGGAGAGGACGTTGTGGTAGGGTCAGTATTGTGAGTCCTGGAGAGGACGTTGTGGTAGGGTCAGTATTGTGAGTCCTGGAGAGGACGTTGTGGTAGGGTCAGTATTGTGAGTCCTGGAGAGGACGTTGTGGTAGGGTCAGTATTGTGAGTCCTGGAGAGGACGTTGTGGTAGGGTCAGTATTGTGAGTCCTGGAGAGGACGTTGTGGTAGGGTCAGTATTGTGAGTCCTGGAGAGGACGTTGTGGTAGGGTCAGTATTGTGAGTCCTGGAGAGGACGTTGTGGTAGGGTCAGTATTGTGAGTCCTGGAGAGGACGTTGTGGTAGGGTCAGTATTGTGAGTCCTGGAGAGGACGTTGTGGTAGGGCCAGTATTGTGAGTCCTGGAGAGGACATTGTGGCATGGTCAGTATTGTGAGTCCTGGAGAGGACGTTGTGGCAGGGTCAGTATTGTGAGTCCTGGAGAGGACATTGTGGCAGGGTCAGTATTGTGAATCCTGGAGAGGACATTGTCAGTATTGTGAGTCCTGGAGAGGACATTGTGGCAGGGTCAGTATTGTGAATCCTGGAGAGGACATTGTCAGTATTGTGAGTCCTGGAGAGGACGTTGTGGTAGGGTCAGTATTGTGAGTCCTGGAGAGGACGTTGTGGCAGGGGTCAGTGTTGTGAGTCCTGGAGAGGACGTTGTGGCAGGAGTCAGTATTGTGAGTCCTGGGATCCATGAGTGGTCAAATAAGTGGCTATTCAATTCCAATAAATGTAAGAGAATGAGGATAAGATGTTGTTAAAAGAAACCACAAATAGAACAGTAGGAACAAACAGCTCGTAGAGTCGAGACAGAAGATGCTGGGAGTTGACATCACATCTCCGGAGACGAGCAAACTTGGCAACTTATGCAAAGTCTGCAAATATAAGACCAATCTTAGGAAAAAACTGAATAGATAAGCATTGAAAACATTATGATCTAACTACTTGAGACAACCACAATAACCTGCACCCCGAGCATGGAACCTGTACCTAGCAAAACACAGAAAATTAAGCTTAGAGACTCCAAAAATTTGCAAGACAAGGCAAGGAGCCAGAACTAAGTTGCTTTGGATAAGAAGATAAGTTGAGGAAACTGATTCTTCCCCCACTAAAAAAAATATCCTCCACCTGGACTGTAGGACACAGGTGGAGGATATAAACAAAGGGGACACAGGTGGAGGATGTAAACAAAGGGGACACAGGTGGAGGATGTAAACAAAGGGGACACAGGTGGAGGATGTAAACAAAGGGGACACAGGTGGAGGATATAAACAAAGGAGACACAGGTGGAGGATATAAACAAAGGAGAAACAGATGGAGGATATAAACAAAGGGGACACAGGTGGAGGATGTAAACAAAGGAGACACAGGTGGAGGATGTAAACAAAGTAGACACAGGTGGAGGATATAAACAAAGTAGACACAGGTGGAGGATATAAACAAAGGGGACACAGGTGGAGGATGTAAACAAAGGAGACACAGGTGGAGGATGTAAACAAAGCAGACACAGATGTAGGATGTAAACAAAGGGGACACAGGTGGAGGATGTAAACAAAGTAGACACAGGTGGAGGATGTAAACAAAGGAGACACAGGTGGAGGATGTAAACAAAGGAGACACAGGTGGAGGATGTAAACAGAGCAGACACAGATGTAGGATGTAAACAAAGGGGACACAGGTGGAGGATGTAAACAAAGTAGACACAGGTGGAGGATGTAAGCAAAGGAGACACAGGTGGAGGATGTAAACAAAGCAGACACAGATGTAGGATGTAAACAAAGGGGACACAGGTGGAGGATATAAACAAAGTAGACACAGGTGGAGGATATAAACAAAGGGGGACACAGGTGGAGGATGTAAACAAAGGAGACACAGGTGGAGGATGTAAACAAAGGGGGACACAGGTGGAGGATGTAAACAAAGGGGACATAGATGGAGGATGTAAACAAAGGGGACACAGGTGGAGGATGTAAACAAAGGGGACACAGGTGGAGGATGTAAACAAAGGGGACACAGGTGGAGGATGTAAACAAAGTAGACACAGGTGGAGCATGTAAACAAAGGGGACACAGGTGGAGGATGTAAACAAAGGAGACACAGGTGGAGGATGTAAACAAAGGGGACACAGGTGGAGGATGTAAACAAAGGGGACACAGGTGGAGGATGTAAACAAAGGGGACACAGGTGGAGGATGTAAACAAAGGGGACACAGGTGGAGGATGTAAACAAAGGGGACACAGGTGGAGGATGTAAACAAAGGGGACACACATGGTAGCCTTCCCAAAGTGTGAAGGCAGTTACCATGTGGCGTAAGCAAGGGAGAGGCGGTAGTGAAGGTCGTCACTATTCACAACCTCAAAGCAGTTACGGAAATGGTTGAGAGATTGTACTCTGTAACCGATATATACGAGATGGCTGCATTTCATTCCCCCACGGACCAAGCAGTAGTAGTCAGAGTAGGCATACAAGCAGTAGTAGTCAGAGTAGGCATACAAGCAGTAGTAGTCAGAGTAGGCATACAAGCAGTAGTAGTCAGAGTAGGCATACAAGCAGTAGTAGTCAGAGTAGGCATACAAGCAGTAGTAGTCAGAGTAGGCATACAAGCAGTAGTAGGCAGTAGGCATACAAGCAGTAGTAGTCAGAGTAGGCATACAAGCAGTAGTAGTCAGAGTAGGCATACAAGCAGTAGTAGGTAGTAGGCATACAAGCAGTAGTAGGCAGTAGGCATACAAGCAGTAGTAGGCAGACTAGGCAGTAGGCATGCAAACATAAGTCAGACACAATAGTGACAGTCAGCTCTCGCTTAGTTTAGCCGAGAGGTTATCTTGAGATGATTTCGGGGCTTTTAGTGTCCCCGCGGCCCGGTCCTTGACCAGGCCTCCACCCCCAGGAAGCAGCCCGTGACAGCTGGCTAACAACATTTCCGGCCATCATTCTCAATACATCAATTTCCTAGCCTCCTTGGCCCTCTGTTTGCCTTGACAAAATCTAATAACTTTATTTTCAACAACAAACTATTATTCAAAATTGTTTTACAAAGTCGCAAAGACTAGAATTTGTAAACGTGGAAGGTTGGAAATTGTATTTAATTGATAATAAATTTCAGTTGGTTCTATTTGGCATGAGCATCTGTGACTTGGGAGTGGCAGTATGAGTGATCAGGGGCCAGATTCACGAAGCAATTACGCACGCACTTACGAACCTGTACATCTTTTCTCAATCTTTGGCGGCTTTGTTTACAATTATTAAACAGTTAATGAGCTCCGAAGCACCAGGAGGCTGTTTATAACAATAACAACAGTTGATTGGCAAGTTTTCATGCTTGTAAACTGTTTAATAAATGTAATCAAAGCTGTGAAAGATTGAGAAAAGATGTACACGTTCGTAAGTACTTGCGTAACTGCTTCGTGAATCTGGGTCCAGAAGCGCAGGTCGTCATTGATCTGGGCGGGTAAAACCCGCTTCAAAAGGGATCTAAAATGATTGCCAAGGATTTTGTTCAGAGAGCAAGCTCTGGTCCGTACCTGCCCCAGTTACAAGACGAATATACCCGAGGGCCACCGAGGGCCACCGTCTCTAGTGGCCTCGACGGGGACTGGCCCTCCACCTGGGGCCACCATCACTAGTGACCTCTACGGGGACAGAAAGCTGGCGTCTTGCCAAAAGTCCCGCCATCATTTACAAAGATACGCTTACAGTGACACAATTCACATGGAGGCACACTTGATGTCCAAGTAGATATTTATAAAGATAATGCAGCCCATCCTCCTAAATCTATAGCACTTTGTTCAAACTTACCAAAATGTACTGTTGGACACAACAAAAAGTTCGCATTTTGTATTACTGAAAAACTAAGAAAATTGCAAACTGGAGAACATAACCTAACCTAACCAAGCAATCCTATACATAATATAATACATATATGTGCTATACTAGGCCCAGGAATGAATAATTTTTTGTTTTGTTTCGTTTCCTCTACAAAATTAATAGTGAAAAACGTGACCATGGTTGGCTGGAACCGTCCTTTTTTGTACGATCAGACCAAATAGTTGCTGTAACTGCTATTGTTTTCAATGGATTTCTATAATGCTGACAAACTGTGAATTTCACCGCCCAATCTTGGTTTACAATCCTGTCGCTTCTAGCATCTTGAAGTTGTCAGTGATATGAAAAGGATGAGATCCACAGGACTGTTTTTATTCCCATTTAGCACGTGTTTTTTTTTTTTTAATATGTAATTGGCAAACTTGACCCGCTACAGAAATCTTAGACGAGGACGCTATCGTTGACTGGCTTACACGTGAAGACAATCGGGAACTCGAAGGCGGCATTGAAGAAGTTAATGATGCAATGTTGCATCAGATTATTGCCAGAGCACCGTTAATGGCTGTGGTGTTTACCAGTAAGGCGGAAGTGTCCCCCTCTCCTCAACCTCTCCCACCCTAAGAGTGGTCAAAACCTCTAGCCCAACCTCTCTAAGAAAGGCCAAAACCTCTCACCGAATCTGAATATAGAGGCCAAACCCCCCCATCTAAGCTCCCTAAGAGAGGCCAAAACCTCGTACCGAACCTCCTTATAGAGGCCAAACCTCTCAACTAAGCTCCCTAAGAGAGGCCAAAACCTCGTACCGAACCTCCTTATAGAGGCCAAACCTCTCACCTAAGCTCCCTAAGAGAGGCCAAAACTTCTCAATGAACCTCCATATAGAGGCCAAACCCCCCACCTAAGCTCCCTAAGAGAGGCCAAACCTCTCAACTAAGCTCCCTAAGAGAGGCCAAACCTCTCAACTAAGCTCCCTAAGAGAGGCCAATACCTCTTACCCACCTTCCATATCGAGGCCAAAACCTTTCACCCAACCTCCATGGAGGCCAGAACCTTAACCTCCAACTAGAGAGGCCGAACCCCCACGCAACCACCACTCATTACTACTTCTGGTTCCCCTCACCTCTGGCACCAGTCTCCGCATTGACCATATGATTGTTTTCCCCAGATGACATCATGTCGGTGGGCTCTGGGGTCTACGAATGGCTTGCTGATGACGATAATCGTAAATTGGAAGGTGATATTGAAGAAGTTAATAAGATAATGATGGACGCAATCCTTGAAAGGAAACTTTATTTTGCTGTTCTGTTTATGAGTAAGCTAATGTGCGTGAGAAGCATTCCCCGCCCCAGTAAAACTCCTGATATCTTTTTGTTACTTTCCTCCTTGAGGTCTGCGAATGCTCTCGTTTTCTATGGTGTCCGTCCCACCGTTACTGTATGGTTTCCCCTCCCAGCATTCCTGTTTTCTATGGTGTCGCTCGCCACTCCCATTCTCTATGGTGTCGCGCGCCACTCCCGTTTTCTATGGTGTCTCCTTGACCCCCTCCCAGATGCCCCTTTCCCTCTCTCTCTCTCCAGGTGACCTCAGTGTGGAGTTAAGTGTCTACGAGTGGCTCACAGACGATGATAATCGTGAGTTACAAGGAACCCTCGAAGAAGTGAATAGGGCAATGCTCAACCAAATAATTGAATATAACCCATTTGTGGCTGTCGTCTTCATAAGTAAGAAAGAAAACGTGCTCAAATGTATTCCGGATTTGTTTGGCGACTATACATCCTAATGCTCTACGTGTATTATTTACTGTAGCCTAAAAACTGTAGAAGAAATTTGATATAAAACAGACAATATCTCAGCAGATTACTTTTATTTGTGTTTCGTTGAGTTTCTACCCTTTGGGACGTGGCATGTCGCGTTGAATGGTGATCCCTTATGTGAGAGTATATGTACCTGTGTGTGGTGAGTGGATATGCTTATATACCCCCGCCCCCCCTTATATTTCGGTTCTGATTTATGATTGGGTACGTTTGTGTGGACCTTCCCCCCCCCCCTGTCCCCCCTCAATCCTCCCCCCTCCATCGCAAGAGCATGTGAGTCCCCCCTTCAATTGGCGCTGTTATGACAACCGCTCCCATTCTCTCATTCAGGTGAAATAAAGGATGGGAAATTTCTCTTGGATTGGTTGAGTGATGATGAGAATCGAGAATTAGTAGATGAAATTGAACACGTAAATCCTGCCATGCTGGACCAACTTGTTGCACAGTCCACCTATTTGGCCGCCTTGTTTTGTGAGTACTCCCGCAGGCCCACATATTCCTTTAGGCCCGTCACCACTTCTTCCGCTTATATGTAAACATCTCTCATAAACACACACGATTAAACCAAATGTTTTAATGGCTAATGCAAACCTTTATCTCTGTGTAAACTCCACGATCTTGTGCCGATATAATGGCTTTGTGTCTTGAGTGTGGTGAGCATGGGGTTATCATCAGCATGTCTTATGACACTACAGCCTATAGTTTGAGCCTTCCACTTTAGTGTGAACCATTCCACGTTAGTTTGAACCATCCACTGTAGTGTGTACCATCCACTCATCCTCCTGGATTATTCTAAGAGTCAGGAGGCATCCCACAACCCCCCCCCCCATGTTTGATTTTTGTTTTGTTCCCTCCACTGCCTTCATTTGTCTTTTTATTTAATGACAGTGACCTGCTGGTGGAGTCTACCCTCAGCACCTTCATCACTCACCGCGCTTCATAACCAAGTAACAAGGTCTATTCCTTCGTTAAGAGCGCGATTTGTTTTGGGTCGGCACACCACTGAACGCTTGTTTTTTGAGATATATAGAAGAGTTGTTACATGGTTGTAGAGCCACTAGTACGCGTACGCGTAGCGTTTCGGGCAGGTCCCTGGAATACGATCCCTGCCGCGAAGAATCGTTTTTTCATCCAAGTACACATTTTACTGTTGCGTTAAACAGAGGCTACAGTTAAGGAATTGCGCCCAGTAAATCCTCCCCGGCCAGGATACGAACCCATGACATAGCGCTCGCGGAACGCCAATTGTCTCCCAATTCTCTCATTTTCATGCGTAGATTGAGATCTTAAATCCACCTATACAACATTTTAGAGCTTGTTGTAGTATCTGTGAAGGGGCAAGTAGGAATGCTAAGGAAAATGATAGAATCTGGCCATTTTAGCCAGTCAGATCATTTCTTGTAAACAGTACCGCTAGGTTGGTTCCTTAGGCAAGGTGGTGAATCCTCCATATTAGGCAATCACATTAAAGTAGTTTATCTATGAGAAAATCTTGGTGCAGGATCTACGACGCTGGTTCGATCCCCGTCCTGCTAGGGGGCCACATTCACGAAGCAGTTACGCAAGCACTTACGAACCTGTACATCTTTTCTCAATCTTTGGTGGCTTTGTTTACAATTATTAAATAGTTAATGAGCTCCGAAGCACCAGGAGGCTGTTTATAACAATAACAACAGTTGATTGACAAGTTTTCATGCTTGTAAACTGTTTAATAAATGTAACCAAAGCCGTCAAAGATTGAGGAAAGATGTACACGTTCGTAAGTACCTACGAAACTGCTTCGTGAATCTGGCCGCTGGTCCAAGATGTTCTTCAAATCCTGCTCTTCCCGTGGTCAGAAAACGTTCATCACCGGGTTCTCGAGTTCTTCATACTCCCTCTGCGGCCAGTATTCGTGGCGATGTCTTACCTTAGCAGATGGCGCCGCGTTTTCACCCGATGGGGATGAAACGGAAATAAGACACTTTTGGCATCTTCCAGGTGGCCTGACTGTGTTTCTGTGCTCCGGGTAAACACTTGGACCTTGTCTTAGGGAGCAACAGAATGCAATGCTCAAAATGAACTTTCAGTCGACATTCAAATCTTGATTCTTCTCGAATGGATAGTCGTTTTAAAATAAATGGAATTTTGACTAAATTTGTGATTACAGTATTTTAACCAATTATTCTGCTCAAATTAGATTAAACAGTGTTTACAAAAGCTGATCCATGCTAATTAAAATAATAACAAGCACTCGGTTGGGATAGCAAATGTTAATTAGAATCGGGAGACATGATATCCTTATTGATAAGCTATAGCGATCGTGAGTGAACAACTATGTATCCCATCATACAATGTATTCAAGAATCAGATACAGTGGCTCACACTACCCAAAACAAACCGTATCTCTCTAAATCCAGATTTTTTTCCCCCCTTAAACTCACCCACGGAGATGCTGCTCATCTGGGAACTGCTCCTGCAATAGGCCGGTGGCAAGCCGCCCGTTTTCTATAGCCAGGCATGATTTTGATTGGCAAATATTTTGTTATTTAGGAGATATGCAGAACGAGGGTAGTGTCCTGGAATGGATGGCTGATGATGAAAATCGTGAATTGGAAGGAGAAATTGAAGATGTAAATATTAGGATGCTTAATCACCTGATGGACGAATCGCCTTTTATCGCGGTACTTTTCTGTAAGTAGGATTTTGCAACCCTCCCCCACCTCTACCCCTTTTTTTTTTTTAGCGCCCTCCCACATAGGGCAATACATAGTGAAATTCGTAATTACCAATTTATAGAACGTTGAATCTGATGTGTTATCCCCCCAGGTTCCCATTAAGTTTCATGCGATATTATAGATGCTAATAACTCCCCTGTTCTTTCTCAAGTTCTAATTAGCATGCTGACTATAGGGTTGTCAGGTGACGGTTTATATGATAAGATTTTGTGGAACGATCAGTCACACACACACACATATGTATAAAGTATATATATATATATATATATATATATATATATATATATATATATATATATATATATATATATATATATATATATATATATATATATATATATATATATATATATATATATATATATATATATATATATATATATATATATATATATATATATATATATATATATATATATATATATATATATATATATATATATATATATATATATATATATATATATATATATATATATATATATATATATATATATATATATATATATATATATATATATATATATATATATATATATATATATATATATATATATATATGCGAACAAGCCTGAATAGTCCCCAGTCACTTCTGGGGTGTGAGTTTTCAGTTATATATATATATATATATATATATATATATATATATATATATATATATATATATATATATATATAATATATATATGCAAACCACAATAACGTAATAAAATTTCGACCGAAGTAACTCGTCGATGTAATCGATTTTTAAATTAAATAGTTTTTCTCATATATACACTAATATCATTATATATACATTGCTCTGAATAGTTAGGCATAGGATAGGTTAGGAGTTTAGGTTCTGTTGGCGATTATTTGTGTTTGAAGTACGTGGGTGAAGCATTTGCACAGTTGTAATTCGAACGTCAACTAAATACTATTAGTTATGAGACTTTTGTGAAGTTTTAAAGCGTTTATCAGTCATAAAGAAGGGATATGGCGGCTGGATTAATGAGCATTTGACCTTTGTTGATGAGGACGGGCTCCAGTTCCTTCACGGGAGTCATGAGAACCTCGAACGCGGGCCACAAAAAAATTATGAGCCTGTCGTCCTCACGGGTTGCAACCCGTTCTCGCACTTGCTTTTAGTCAATATTGGCTTATTTAATAAGTGCATATGTGACATACGAATTGATTGTGAATATTTTAGTTTACCTTGAAAAGCTTCATAGAAAACACCGACCTCACCTAACCTTCTTAGTATGTTAAGATAAGCCAACCTCCCATCCAGACTTCATTGTTGACTATGTATTTGAAACTGACTCGGACACACTTCGATTATAAAGTCAATTTGGTGAGGATAATTATACAGAATTAATTGGTATTAGTTAAGTTCTAGGTATATATATACAATTTTATTATCAAATGTCTACCGTTAGTTGGCAACCCTCTGGTTCATGACTTAATATAGTCCATTTCAGAAACAAATTCCTTAAATCGTAGTGTAGCTCACTTCAGTCTGCCTGTAAAGCCAATATAGTTAGAGTATTGTGCCTAATTGGTCCTAGCGAAAATTGGCAATAGTTGGTAGATAAAAAAAAGAAATAGCAAGTTTGACTTTACCGTAGAAAACCACCACTCTGTAGATATCAAAATTCCCGGTTTCTCTAATGGATAGCCTAGCGCGACTCTTTTGTTTTGGTCTCAACAGCTGCACGATGCCCGCCATTTTATATCACCTGGATGTTAGATTTGTGTGTTCTAACACCTTGTTGCACTGTATTTGTTATTCATTAACCCTCATTACATCATGAATGAGGTTTTCTAGTAATCCCCCTCATCTATTAAAACTCTCATTCAATATGTCGTAACTGCTGTAGATCTAGTTTTACTAAGCTAATTGTGTCATAATTACTGTCGAAGGAAAAATGTAAAAAAGCTGATATTTGATGTTTTGAAATCTCAAGTTTTTAATTTTCAATTTTTTATTTATATTTCGCCATAAAATTCTCAAGAATTTTGAGGTTGTCTTTTTTGTTTTGAAATTCTAGCTTTCCAACCTGACTGTGTGTTTGTTTAAACATATTTCAATGAAAAGATGTCGAGCATATGATAGCAACAAAGTACACTGTTGCAAACATTATATCAATATAACAACTTATAGGCTCGTCAGTTGTTTCCAAAATTGTTAAAAAAACATTTGTCTGAAGTTGTTCAGTTCTTTGAATGTCTACTTTCTTATAATGGCAATTTTGTTCAATAATTATTGAATGCCAAAAATTCACAAATAAGTTTAAACTTCATCACTTTATATATATATTAAGTGTGTGTGTGTTAAATAATAACAAAATGCCGCTTAAATGATGAGTCTTGGAAAGTAACCTATTGGTTGTAGAGTATCACTTTTTAAATGTGTCACTGTTGTAGACCTGCATAGAGTACTGTATAGGGAATATGAGCACCAGTTTGATAGCATATCCTCCACAATGGGGGCATCTTGTGAGGTGTCCGGGCCAGCCGGTATCTCCAACAGGCACTCTGTCTGTATATTTACAGGCACTCCCAGCTAACTCCCAGCTAGCCCTCAGCCCGTCCTCGTAGCCAGCACTCCAAGCCAGTTCTTCCAGGCAGCTTTCACAGCCAGTCCGCCCAGTCAGCTCTCCTAGCCAGCCCTCCTAGCCTTGCCAGTCCTATTCAGCCGTCCTAGCCAGCTTCTCCAAGCAGTCCACCCACTCAGCCCCTCCAACATTAGACCCGCATCACCTTTCTCAATAATATAACTCAAACTTGTATGTTTTAGATTCACGAGTATTACCCACAAACCATTGCGGTCGGCCATCTTGGATGAAAGGTTATCTATACGCATTCTTTTCTCAAGTTGAGTAGGCCCAATAATTGCCATGACCGACTCATAAAAGGTTATTTATGCAGTGCCCCTCACTCACTCCTATAACCTATTCAGCTCCTGCTCAAGTGGACGCGAAGTGCGTAGTAGTTTAAGAGAGTGTTCGTCCTGGCCAGCACTTGCTAGAGCGGAAGTTGTCTAGTGGAGATGCACGAATAGACAAGGCTGTTGTAACTGCTTATGTCGTTCCGGTGTTTCTGTCGTCCGGTATTTCCGTCGTCCGGTATTTCCGTCGTCCGGTATTTCCGTCGTCCGGTGTTTCCGTCGTCCGGTGTTTCCGCCGTCTTGTATTTCCGTTGTCCGGTATTTCCGTCGTCCGGTGTTTCCGTCGTCCGGTGTTTCCGTCGTCCGGTGTTTCCGTCGTCCGGTGTTTCCGCCGTCTTGTATTTCCGTTGTCCGGTATTTCTGTCGTCCGGTGTTTCCGTCGTCCGGTGTTTCCGTCGTCCGGTGTTTCCGTCGTCCGGTATTTCCGTCGTCCGGTGTTTCCGTTGTCCGGTATTTCCATTGTCCGGTATTTCCGTCATCCGGTGTTTCCGTCGTCCGGTGTTTCCATCGTCCTGTGTTTCCGTCGTCCGGTATTTCCGTCGTCCGGTATTTCCGTCGTCCGGTGTTTCCGTTGTCCGGTATTTCCGTCATCCGGTATTTCCGTCATCCGGTGTTTCCGTCGTCCGGTATTTCCGTCGTCCGGTGTTTCCGTCGTCCGGTGTTTCCGTCGTCCGGTATTTCCGTCATCCGGTGTTTCCGTCGTCCGGTATTTCCGTCATCCGGTGTTTCCGTCGTCCGGTGTTTCCATCGTCCGGTGTTTCCGTCGTCCAGTGCTTTCGTAATCTACGTCTTCCACTAAGTATGCTGCTGCCATTTAAGCATGGTGCTTCAGGAACGAGACAACTAGCATGAATTAATAACACTGAAGTCTCACTTAACAGTGTTCTTCCACTTGATTGCTTAACTAATTTCTCAGAATACATTTTATATTCACAGGTTTTCTAAGGTATGGAGTTTTACAAGGAGCTTTTGCTTGAGTACATATGAATGGTGCTTAAGTTTAAATCACAGGAGCCAGTCTACACTTCTAGCTTATTCCTAATCAATATTAACTCCTAACAGAAAAGCTACTTTGTAAGTATAAGATCTTATTAATATAAGATCTGGTAATAAGCGGGTATCAGAACCTCTGTATTAGTTTTTGTAACCTGAGTATTTCACCTTGTGATTTGTGAGTAATGGTGGTCATGCGGGTACGGTTTTCACACTATTGGTGATGACAGTCACGAGATATGGTTCATCCATCGATTGGCCTCCTAACTGTCACGTGTTCACCCACAATGTTCCCCAGCAGTAACATCCCATTCATGCGTCCAAGTCCCGGTGTGTGGGTAATGTCACGTCAACACAGCATGCATTAGAGAGGTTATGTACCTGGTGATGCACCAAGTTCTGTGCCTGGTATCTGGAGGTGAGGTAGTAGCTGTTGGCATGTCCTTATACATCTTGTCGCTTACCTGAAGCTTCCCCGTCCTGGCCCTGCATGTGTAAAGTTGGCTAGCGAGAAAGTTGTGACCATCAGCTTGTTAACCCGTGCTTCTGCTGGCCCTTCACCCCTGCCCCATACAACTACTGCCCTCCCTTCCCTCTCAAACTACTCTGTTATTGCCTGTCTATAAAAAAACGTTTCACCAGAGTACCCAGTTTGCTGGTAGGTCTTATATATATGAAATGAACATTCAATTCTGATATAAAATTAGCAGCAGCCAGATATATGGCATGAAGGTGATACTTTAGGTAGGCGGGTCATGTACGAGGAGTTTGTCACTAACGCCTCACTCTTCTCTCGTCCTCTTGGCAAGATGAGGACGACTGTCCGGACTGTGAGCAGGTCCTGCAGGAGCTGGAGAACATCGACGATGAGGTCGACATGTTTGGTGAGTAACGTCCAGTAATGAGTTACATCCCTTTTACCCTTATCTTCATCCTTAACCCGGCCACTTGGACAAGTTGGTCTTCACTCTTGCAGCGGCGGCTGTCGATCCCCAATGGTCCAAGTGGTTGGGCATTTTTCCTTCCCTCCGTCCTCATGTTCGAGCTCCTTGTCCTCGTCCGCCTTTCAAGTGGATAATTACCTTACTCTCATTAAGCTGCTCTTTCTCCATAACCTCTTAACTAATTGCTCATAAAACAGTACTGGCGGCTGAGGAATTCTGGCGACGGTGATGCTGTCGAAATAACAAGACTAGCACGAGAAGTTTGTCGGTCATGAACGTACTCCAGAAAGCGTCGTCGGGAACACTTTCACCAGAATTCGTTAGTTATCAGTACAGTTCTGTTGTACTTGTAGCCTACTTTATATCCCAGGTCCCTGGGGACCTAAATGGGCATTTCAAGCCAACAGTCCATGGAGTGGTATTATTAGTTATCGTATCTCAAAGGGATATGGTAATACTACTATAATAAGAAAGAAGCTTCCTTACCTGTAAGACTAGTAGTCGAGAGCACCTAACTTGTCTGCTTTCTTCGTGGACTAAAACAGGGAACATTTTAGTGATGCTTACGCTTTATGTCCTCCAGCTGACTAAACAAAAAATACGGTAATACAAGGTTGGAACTCGTGTTTGAGATGTTTCAAGCCACTGTGAGATTTTTCCTTCAGATTTGAATCGATATGATTGTAGCGCTGCTATATGACTTGAAAAGATAGCCTGTAATTGGGAAACATGTCATTATGCCCATGTATAATGGCTTGTATTCTTAGGTAAGTGGACACTGTCAATAGATCAATAAATAACCTCATATAACTGAAAGGACGACATTGCGGTCCGACCTGGATCCTCAGATTTTGACACAGTGAGAGAGTTATTTATAAGGCAAGGAAGTAAGGTGTAAGCAGAAAAGTAAAACATTATACCAAGTTAACATAAATATAAAGACAACTGCACAAGGCCTTATGGCATTTAAGCATTAATATAACAGATATATCCCAGGTTGTATAACTTATAACAGGTCAGGGTGGTAAAGGTTGGGGGGCCAAGAGTCCCTTGGTCGCGGATTAGAGTTCACTAAGAGCTCCAGTTGATTTTCTCAATAATATAACTTATTAATATACTGCTGCTGTTGTCGACAGGGATCGACTTCGTGAAGATCAACGACCCAGACGCTGCCCAGAGGTTCAACATCTTACACACACCGGCACTCGTGTACTTCAGGAAGAAGATGCCTCTTGTATACGACGGTTGGTACCATCTGCCATCATTATGTCTCATGTTCCTCCTTAAAGAGCAGAGTAACAGTATAATATCCACGGTTAACTTATAGCAGAAGTTAGTGACAGTTTTGGAAGATAAATTCAGTTAACACTTTATCATTACGTCTCAGTTTGGTTTTCCTTCAGTTTAACAGCATTTAAAGAGTAAAGAGAAACAGGGAAAGCTCAAGTAAATAATATCTATATTGCTTTATTAGAACATTTTTAATAACTTTAAATAAATAAATAAATAAATGTTTATTTAGGTAAGGTACATACATACAAGAGATTTTACAAAGATTGATGGAATTATAGATAGAGCTAGTACATACAATGCCTAAAGCCACTATTACGCAAAGCGTTTCGGGCATGAAAAACATTAATGACTAAATCTTAATACTAATTGAGTATAAAGAATAAAATGTGTTGAGAACAAATAAAACTAGAGATAAAAAAGGGGGGAACATGGCTGAAAAAGCAGCACAAATACAATTAGGTCGACAAACAGCGTTGTTTAAAAAAAAACAGACATGGATTGACAATAGAGGGGTAAGGTAGGTTACAGGGAATTTATTAGGTAGTGCTTCGTTTTTATCTTAAACTGATATTTATGATATTTGAGGTGAGTTCTTAACTTTGATATTTGAGGTGAGTTCTTAACTTTGATATTTGAGGTGAGTTCTTAACTTTGATATTTGAGGTGAGTTCTTAACTTTGATATTTGAGGTGAGTTCTTAACTTTGATATTTGAGGTGAGTTCTTAACTTTGATATTTGAGGTGAGTTCTTAACTTTGATATTTGAGGTGAGTTCTTAACTTTGATATTTGAGGTGAGTTCTTAACTTTGATATTTGAGGTGAGTTCTTAACTTTGATATTTGAGGTGAGTTCTTAACTTTGATATTTGAGGTGAGTTCTTAACTTTGATATTTGAGGTGAGTTCTTAACTTTGATATTTGAGGTGAGTTCTTAACTTTGATATTTGAGGTGAGTTCTTAACTTTGATATTTGAGGTGAGTTCTTAACTTTGATATTTGAGGTGAGTTCTTAACTTTGATATTTGAGGTGAGTTCTTAACTTTGATATTTGAGGTGAGTTCTTAACTTTGATATTTGAGGTGAGTTCTTAACTTTGATATTTGAGGTGAGTTCTTAACTTTGATATTTGAGGTGAGTATATTTAGTGAATAGTAAATGTAGTGAGTGTTAAATGCAAATACCAAACTTGCAGGAGATCTGCTGGACGAGGAGAAGGTGTTCAACTGGCTGACCTCTCAAGATGTGTTTGAGATCAAGGACGAGATCGAGGAGGTGAACCGCAAGATGCTGGAAAAGCTCTTAGATGAGAACGACTTCGTGGCTGTTTATTTCTGTGAGAGATCTTACGTGTTTCTTTGTGGGTCTTGTGAGATGTCTCATTTATGTCCTTGTTGATCTTGTAAGATACCTTACATGTATCCTTGTGAGATGCCTTTTGTATGTCTTTGCTAGTTTTATGAGATGCTTCACCTATGTACGACAAATACAACAAAATTGCCAACAGAACCTAAACACTTAACCCAACCTAATCTAGGCTTACCTATGCACCAAATAATAATATATAATACAATACTTTTATATTTGAAAAAATATTGATTCTGAATCCAAAATACCTTAGTCAGTGAACATGTCTTTGAGGATGTGTTGCTAAATCAACGTAACCAAAACACCTTAACTAGACCTAACTATACATAAAATCACAATTTATACTAATGTTAAATTAAGTTTGCTAATCAGGCAGTGTATTAGTACACAACCTGATCAACCAGGCTGTGACTCATGCGTCAGGCTGCGAGCAGCCGCGTCCAACAGCCTGGTTGATCAGTCCAGCAACCAGGAGGCCTGGTCGACGACCGGGCCGCGGGGACACTAAGCCCCGGAAGCACCTCAAGAGGATAGATTCATCTTGTCAGATGATGCAGTCATATTCTGACTTAAGTAATGTTCTCACTTACTATGACCCACAGATGAAAACACCCCCAAGAGCGAGGAGGTACTGGAGGAGCTAGAGAAGATCGACGACGAAACTGACGACCTAGACATCACCTTCGTCAAGATCCGGGACACGCGCTACGCCAAGAAGTACGGTATTCAGAAGCTGCCTGCGCTCGTCTACTTCAGGAGGAGGTTCCCCAGCATATACCGAGGTAGGTGTTAGCTATACCGGTGTCAGCTACCATATCTTGAGGTTATCTTGAGATGATTTCGGGGCTTTTTAGTGTCCCCGCAGCCCGGTCCTTGACCAGGCCTCCACCCCCAGGAAGCAGCCCGTGACAGCTGACTAACACCCAGGTACCTATTTTACTGCTAGGTAACAGGGGCATAGGGTGAAAGAAACTCTGCCCATTGTTTCTCCCCGGCGCCTGGGATCGAACCCAGGACCACAGGATCACAAGTCCAGCGTGCTGTCCGCTCGGCCGACCGGCTCCCTCAAATCCATCATGGCTGGATTTTTTGGTAAAAGGCTATATTCTAAAGCAGGTTTCATTTTGAAAGCTGTAGCATGGAGTCGAACCTACAGCCCAGTGATCATCATGTTCCTAATGATTTGCTACTTTTGTACTTTGGAAGTGAGAATTATTTAGCTACATTCGTTAAAACTTATTCTTATTTGTACACATTCAAATTGACTAATAAATATATCTAATATTAATTGTATTCCTGATTCAGTTGTTATATACTCAGGTGACCTTATGGTGGAGGAAGAGGTTCTCGATTGGCTGCAGAAGAATAGGTTTAAGCACCCCGAGCTGAACCTGTTCATGTACGCCACAGGGGCCATTACCTTCGCCTTCGTTATGTACACCGTCTTCCTTCTCTTCTGCTTCAAGAACCCCGCTCATCCCCCCCACCACCAGAAGGCAGCGTGATTACCGTATGTCATCATGTCTTGGATCAATCTTATTTGTATATTCGTGATATAATTATACAAGCGAACCCTGGAAATTGTCCGACGTTTAATAACTGAACAAGAAATGTCATCTAAGTCATCTCCCGTGGTTCACAGTCTTCGAGATGGGCAGAAGTGAATAAGATATCGCCTTAGGGACTTTGTAATTACAAGATGTATTATAACTTAATGTCGCTTTCTTCAGCTTCGAAATAATGTAAAGATAGACTTGGAGTCGTTATGGAAGTATTGTTACTGAGATTTATTATAACTATCTGTTGATTGGACTGCTCGGCATAATCTATGTTTGATAAAATTGTGATAGCCAGCAGGAGGAGAGACGCATGTGTGTGTGTGTATGTGTGTGTGTGGCGGGTAGGGCCTGGGTATGCTCCCCATGCCCACCAGCCTTATCAAAAATGGCATTCTGTGGAGTATAAATAATCACTTTTATGTTGAAATTGCTAACATGACCACCAGCTGGTTGCTAAAAAAATAGCCAGCGCTCGACCAGGCCATGCAGGACTTCGGTGGCATTTCAGCGAGAGAGAACGTGACTTCATAACCCGAGTAGCTTTAAGAGCCTCGGCCGCAAGAAGAAGCCCCGGTCTTTGCCGATAAACGACTAGCAAGGTAAGAGGCCCTCCATTGTCGTAGTTTGTATGAGTGGCTGTGCAAAGCCTCAGTCCCCAGCCAACAAGATAGATAGTTGAAGAAATTTCTTATACCATTAAGAAGATGCTTAAAAAATATATATTTTCCACCCATGAGCGCGATAAAATCTACTTTTGAAAACTCGAAAATGCGTGAAGAATTTCGATTGTAAACACCAATCACCAGCTGAACGCTAAAATAATTCTCACGTAAATAAGAATTGTATTTATCTGACGCATCGCGCATGTTATCTGACGCAACTGACGCATGTTATCTGACGCGACTGATGCATGTTCTATTGACATGACAATGCCTGAAACAAGAAGCTGATCCGTTTCTTGTCATCATTCATTTGTGATTGAATTGTATCGGGGTGTCCGTATTGCAACTGCTTTGTCAGAATTTCAACTACTAGACAATGAGTTCGTTGCCTGGTACTATTTAATACTCATTGATTCTGTCTAGTACTGAGTAGACAGACCAACCTGGACCCCCTATTTCACGAGAACGAATTAATATTCTCCTCCATCTAGAGGAAACTCTTAAAACCTGTGAAAAGTCTTATGTTCCCGGCCTACATCACCGCTAGTCGGTAAACAACTCATCCTAACCTGGCTCAATCTAACTTATCCTAACCTAACCCAAACTAACAAATCCTAACCTAACGTAACTTATCCTAACCTCACGTAGCCTAGCCTAACCTAACCCAACTTAACTTATCCTAACCTAGCCTTATCTGGCCCAACCTAACCTATCCTAATGAAAATAAAAGAGCAAATGTTATGTTTTACATATATATATATGGCGTACATGAAGTGTGGATTCCACAATGTTCAATTCAATTTCTTTATTATGCACCCCATACCCATCCCGTGGGCGGTGGTGAAAAGGGTTACAGAGGCACAGGCCAGTGCATTTAGACAAAATAAACATGAATGGAGTTCATTCCTTTCAGGTTTACAGTGTTAATCGTATGTATTCATTTCTTCAACTTCGCAGGTAATGCGGAGGCGTATAGATATTTAATGAATGCAGTTGTTAACATTTTGTACGTGGTATGAGAAGCATATGCCAATTGATGCTCCTCTAAGGAAGACGAGTGGAATTAGGTTAGAACACGTCGTTATGCTATCGTTAGGATAGGATAACGTTAGGATATCTAACTCTCTACGTTAGGATAACATAGAGAATCTGTGGTGTGTGTGTGTGCGTGTCCCCGTGGTGGGATATGCAGTCGTGGAATTCTTGAGGCTTGGCTCTAAATACGTACTCCCTTAATGGGACTTGTGATCGTTTTTACCCATCATTTTGTGATGTTTTTCCCTTTGAACAAAACAGTGCGGTGACTGCAGGGGGGAAGTGTGACTTATTCTTAGTGACAGAAACTATCATTGCTGCGTGACACTGAGGTCATAAATGCTCCTTGACAGTGCAATAAGACAATTACACAACAAAATCCCAGCCTGTCCTCTCGAATTGCCACAACGAGCATAAAATGTTGTGCTAAAACACTCTAACTTTGCCTAACCTATCAACTCACGTGTAGAAAATAGGAGTGTTTGTGAGCCGCTTTGATACACCAACCCGTCTTCCTTATAGCACGTCGCATTTTGACCTATACTCGACCTAAGACCAAAAATCGTCGTACTGGAAAATGGTAGCGGCTCGCGAAACTGACATACTGTTTCGTTTTCTGTTTTGGGTCATTTGGTAGGTTAGGATAAGGGCACTTTAGTACGGCAGTTTCTTGACGTTGGGAAACCTTAGAAGGACTGGCTGGATACACAGTACCCCTTTAATTGTCGATTCAGGATTTTGACGTCAAAATGCTGTGTACTGTGAGGGGACGGATTCGCTATATTCAGTTTAGTGAGGTCTTTAAAATCAATGAAAGTTAAAAGTAATTTATATAGTTTGTAAGGAAAATTAATCTGTTGTTTAAATTGTCTCGTGGTAATTACTATAACCCCGTCATACAGTATATATTAAAAAGCCAGGTTACAGTATAATCCTCTCCTTAAATAGCGTTAGGCTGTGATTCTGAGCATCATGGGACATTATGAGTGTGTAAACACTTCTTGAAAAAAAAAGACCAATATATTAGGCTATGTACACGGATATATATATATGGAGAAATATTGCACCATTATGGTGGAAGTGATAATGGAAAGACTGATTAACTTGCTCTTTGCAGTCACCACCTCTTGTCCCTCAAAACTGTAACGAAAAACAGGTACGCCTACGCGTGTCCCTCGAAAAAAGCAAAACGGACACGCGTAGGCGTACTTTACACTACTACTTTATGTGAGGCTTGACCTCTCTGCCTGTTTCGAGACAACCACCGTCCTCTTCACTAACTACCCAACCTCCCGCCAGGCTTCAGAAATCTAAACCATCCCAACACCATCTCCATCTTCGCGAAACTTAGAGCCTAAAAATCCCCGTCTTTGCGAAACTTAAGAGCCTAAAAATCCCCGTCTTCGCGAGACTTAGAGCCTAAAAATCCCCGTCTTCGCGAAACTTAAGAGCCTAAAAATCCCCGTCTTCGCGAAACTTAGAGCCTAAAAATCCCCGTCTTCGCGAGACTTAGAGCCTAAAATCCCCGTCTTCAAAAAGACTGTCCGCCCCCCCCCCCTCCCCGTCTCCACGAGACTGCCCCAAGGCCTCTCTAAACCACTCCAAGTGTCCTGTGGTGTTAAGTTTATCTTAGAGTACTAGTTCAGACAGTTAGGCGTAGCTAACATTATGGACGTCTGCTATGGTATGTACATTTTGATGAATATGTATGATAAAGAAATCTTTGTTAATTGTATTTTTTTTTTTAACCTCTGTTAAATTATTATATTATGAATTACTCTTATATTACTGTTATATTTTGTTTAAACCTCTGTTATATTACTTTTTAACCTGTTATGTTACATATATATATATATTATATGTATATATATACATTATAAGTATGTATGATGTGTGTGTAAATCACGAAGAAATGAACAGGTGATAAATAATGTGGAAAATATTTAACCACTATGATAAAATTAAACCAAAGTTGACTTGAGTCCAGTTGGCAAGGTGTTGAGATTTGTTGCCCATATATTGCGATTTCCCGAGCCTCAGTAAGCTCCATTGTCCCAGTTGAGTACTGGCAGTGATTGTTGAATAAGTACCTACGGGCTCACCATAGCCCGTGCTACTTGGAACTGTTTATTCCATGTAGCGAATCTTTAACAACAACAAACAGTGATTGAAGCATCCGCGTTGACGAGTGATTGGTTGTCCTGAGTGGTTGTTGTTGTTATAGATTCAGCTACTCGGAACAAGTTCCAAGTAGCACGGGCTATGGTGAGCCCGTAGTGGATTTACCTGGCACAGGAGCGGGGCTGTGTGTCTCAGTCTCTGGCTGTCCTGAGTGTTAAGTGCAACTGCTCCTGCGGGAATAGATTACCAGTAAGACGTGCCAGGGCTCTCTAACGCAATTTAGCTTTGACCAGTATTAATCGTGAGTCAGTTCAAGCATCCTCCACGGATATTAGTAAGTTACCTTGATGGTTACCTTGAGGTGCTTCCGGGGCTTAGCGTCCCCGCGGCCCGGTCGTCGACCAGGCCTCTTGGTTGCCGGACTGATCAACCAGGCTGTTGGACGCGGCTGCTCGCAGCCTGACGTATGAGTCACAGCCTGGTTGATCAGGTATCCTTTGGAGGTGCTTATCCAGGACTTAGGCTTATCTAGCCTAAGTTTATGCCTTAAACTATGTTAAATGTTAGCTTGTGTTTACGTGATGTTACATAGGCTTCCCGGCTTGGTGCCTTCTTTTGCTAATTACTTGTGTTTACGTAAAGTAACTCCAGAGATAATTTGCTGCTCGCAAAAGTGTTATTAAGACACAATAATCGCTCCTTAAGCTTAAACATTTTATCAGCTATTAGTCACTTGTTATAAATTTGATGAGGACCCCGAGTGAGTCAATAACTGCTTCAGTAGTACTATTAGATTATCACGACCATAGACTATGAGAAACATCACAAGTGGAGTTCCACTCAGAGAAGTCCACCTCGAGTAGTATACTTCGAGAGTGTACCCAGAGCTATGGTAGCTGCTTGAGATTTTGAAGATTCAAAATTCTGTTGATTTTTGAAATTCTGTTGATTTTTGAAGATTCAAAATCCATACAATTCTGTTGTATTTTGTAAACAAAACAACAGTCATAATTAATTTGATGGCGTAGTTTGTTATAGTAGTCAAGAAAAAAGTAAGTCACAAAGGGTGTTTGGGAGTTGTATAACAACTGCTTGTAAGAAACAAACAAAAGGAAGTGAAGTGTAAATTTTTATTATGGGAAATAGGTTTCACCTATACTTATAGGAATAGGCCTTCTGCTGTTTCACCCATTATTATACCTATTGCAAATCTTACCCATTATAAAACAATCCAATTTATACAATCCTGGGGCCAGATTCACGAAAGCACTTACGCAAGCACTTACGAACGTGTACATCTTTCCTCAATCTTTAACGGCTTTGGTTACATTTATTAAACAGTTTACAAGCATGAAAACTTGCCAATCAACTGTTGTTATTGTTATAAACAGCCTCCTGGTGCTTCGGAGCTCATTAACTGTTTAATAATTGTAAACAAAGCCGCCAAAGATTGAGAAAAGATGTACAGGTTCGTAAGTGTTTGCGTAACTGCTTCGTGAATCTGGCCCGTGGACTTAATTAAAATGATCTAATTCACTACTTTTTATAAGTAAAGATTGAATAATATTTCTTTCAGTTACAGATTTACACTAAGTAATTTTGCATGAATTAGTCCAGTCAACTGAATGATAACACTCTCTTCAATGAAGAAATAATACATTTGACTCATGACCCGTCCTTATGTTATATTTATGCTGTTTATCCTATGGTCGAGTTGTTTACCAGTTTGTCAAACAGAATTTATTACAAATTTTGCATGGAATTATGTAAACACAGCCATTACAACTGCTTGGGTAATTTGTAATCTAAGAGGTCTTATGATATAAAGTTTTCTTAATGCTACATTGATATTAAATTGTTTTAGTAATTTAGAAATTTTATTGAAGTTATCATGAAATGGCAAAATTATTGTATTCTTTTGTTTTTCAAACTAAAGACAGGTTTATGAGCCATTTAACAACAAAATTCAATAAAAGACTTAAGGGATTTTAAATTGACAGCGCTACGATATATTTCACTAATTTTATCATTCATATTTAGGACTACATATTCTTGGAGCCCTCAAAACACACGATATTAAAATGTTTAACAAAGATGTTAAACGATGTTGATTAACACACGATGTTTCCTTGTTAAAATTCAACAAGGTAAAGTTCATGAGTGTCCTTTACATTGTAATAATCTGCGTCGGAATTTAGCGGCCAGATACAGCCTCCCACTACAGAACACCTGGGCCATATGAATATAAAAGAATTTTCTTTTATTCACTAGGCTATCACTATTCACTGATAGCCTAGAGTCTAGGCTATCGGAATAGCCTAGACTCTAAGAGTCCCGTGGCATAACGAAATCTTGCAAGCCTCATCCGCATGCTTTCATTAACCTGTTCAAAGTTCTTCCAGTGTATTGGATGGTTTCTGTTAGCTCCATCTTCCAATGAACTGGTTTAAAGTTCCTCCAGTGTATGGGATTGCATCGACTAGCTCTCAATGCCATAAAATTTGATTATAAATTTGGACCAAAATTCCTCCTATGTATGAATTAATTAGCGGCCACTAGTGCCCACTGCTGTAGAACTTGATTATAAAACTTGTCCAAAGTTCTTCGAGTATATTCTGTAGGTTGGTATCCACTAGCGACCACTGCCGTAGAACTGGATAAGCACCACCAAGTAGGTCACTACGGTGTTCACCACCTGCAGAAAATGAAACAGATAATTTTAAAAATACGAAAATAAAATTACTAATCTGAAAAAAATGGCAAGAGTTTGTTTTCTTGCCTTCTAATGTTTTAAGATAAACAGGTTTCCTCTATTCTATCTTCTAATGTTTTAAGATAAACAGGTTTCCTCTATTCTATCTTCTAATGTTTTAAGTTGGGCAGTATTCTTTTATTCTTATCCTCTCTTCCATAATAGGCTACAATTCCTATCTTCTAATGATGTAAGATATGTTGGTGTTGTAAGCTAGACGTCACATACTGTAGTGGCCATGCCCTTGTTGAGGATGAAGAAGCCACAGCCCTCGATCTGGGCATCAGTTCGGCTCACGTGGTCTATCAATGTAGCCATCTGCAGAAACAAAATTATCACAAGGTAAGGTAATTATCAAACGAAGGTACCGAACCGGGAAGGTTAGGTTAGGTTAATAAATTATCACAAAAGAAAACTATTATTTTCTAACAAATGTTTTGTTCAGTAAACTTAACGATAATTAGATCCTATGTGTTTTATATACGAGAAAATATTGAGGCAATACAAGTTCAAGTATGTTTATTGAAATAAGAAAGAAATACATCTCAAAGGGATAGAGTAGCTTAGGCTATTTCTACCCTCCTTAAGGCAATACAATGGGATCGAACCTCTGCCCCCTGGATTCAACACATGCTCTACCGATTGAACTTACTTTGATCTTCTCCTTCTGTTCCTTCATCGTGCCCTTCAGTATCAGGAGAGGTTCTATGAGAGAGTCTTTCTGAGAAAGAAATTAACATAGTTATTCCATTGAATTTATGATTGAAATGGCTTTCTCATCTTAAAGGGTAGCCAGCACAGAACACAAAGTGATTACATATATTTTATATAATTCTCAGTAAATTAATGTTTCATAAGCTCTGCTATAGTGCCTTACATGCCACCAAATATATATATATATATATATATATATATATATATATATATATATATATATATATATATATATATATATATATATATATAACTGAAAACTCCACACCCCAGAAGTGACTCGAACCCATACTGCCAATAGCACTATGCAACTGGTGTACAGCAGACCTTAACCCCTCGGCCATCACGACTGGACAAAAGATGATGGTAGCTATTTCCCCATCATCCCGCCGGCGCTCTGATGGTAATCATGGGCATGGTATTTTATCAAATCACCACATTTTGGGGGGCCACGTGAGCTACACATCATGCTTAAGTAATAATTTTAAATATATGGATTTGAATATATCTTTGAAATAATAAAAGACGTGTAGTTGAAATTCTTTACAATATCACCCTGATCAAATCACCGTGTATTTTTGTGTGTGTGTCCAACCCGTTCTCGCACTTTCTTTAAGTCAATATTGACATATTAAATGTGTCTCAGGTCTTCCGCCGGAAGTAGGCTATGAGGCTACAGAAGAGCAGCGCCCGAGGAGGTCATCGATCTTCACTGCTGCCAAAGACTGTTGTGTGTCTCTTGTTGCACAAGTGTCGAGCATTGTTGTCGGAAACTTATTTCCTAAACCTCCCAGAGCAGCTGAGGACCGCGGAGAGCCCCCTTCTTGAGAGTTCTTTTGTTTATGGACTGACCGCATTCCGGGAACCATCTGATCTGACGGACCCTTGAATACAGAAGCCAGTGGATCCTTGTCGGCTGTTCAAGGGGGTCATTGCACCTTTCTGAACCTGCGAGGTGTCTTCAGTGTTTGTGTAGCATCTTGACTGTTGCTCAAGAGTTGTGTGGTGTCTTGGGTATTAGCTAGGGAGAGTATGGTACTTCGATCCACCTTCAGAAATTGTGGGGTGCATTTTATGTGACGCCATGAATGTAGTTTAGTAATTGACGCAGAGTTCTAATAAAAATGAATGACATAAACCAATGAATAAAAACGTTTAACAACGGAGACAATAATAAAGGTTTTAAATTTGTTATACAGGATAGAAAAATGGATTGATTTACATTTTCAATAGAAATAGGTAAAAATTGGTTCTGAAATAGATTGTAGATATGTTGAAAACGTTACTAGGACTATTGAGTTTCGTAGATAATTGATAGTAGTGGGATGTAAATATTAGGATACTAATTATATTACAATACTTTCTCTCCGGGTTCCGTTATTCTTAGTTAACATTAGGTGGTTCAAGTATTATTTATCTCAAAAATAACTTAGTCGACTTAATGTACTTTTTAATAATTTAAAGAAAATAAAATGGTTCCTCCTGCAATGCACGAATGAAAAATATCAGTGTTAAAATAACACAAATTAACAGTTATATTTCTAATATTCAGAGTCCAAAATAGCTTTTGTTAAGTAAGAATTCAGATAAATATAATTATAAATAATCGCTACATTTACTGATAATCTTGTATATAAAAAAGAAACTTTTTAAGGTATTAATGTCGATATTTTGTCACTGGAGAATAACATGTGAGAGAAGTGTGGCGAGGGATAGCAGTCGGGTTCAAACATGGGGCGGGGGAGGACGCTTACACACCGCTGCCTAACTGTCGCGCCTCTGTCAACCCAGCTACAGTTGGGAACTTGGATATAAACCGGTTAGTACTCACCTAGTTATGCTTGCAGGGGTTGAGCTGTAGCTCTTTGGTCCCGCCTCTCAACTGGTGTACAGGTTCCTGAGCCTACTGGGCTCTATCATATCTACACTTGAAACTGTGTATGGAGTCAGCCTCCACCACATCACTGCCTAATGTATTCCACCTGTTAACTACTCTGACACTGAAAAGTTCTTTCTAACGTCTCTGTGGCTCATTTGGGTACTCAGTTTCCACCTGTGTCCCCTTGTTCGCGTACCACCCGTGTTAAACAATTTATCTTTATCTACATTGTCGAATCCTCTTAGAGTTTTGTAGGTAGTTATCATGTCTCCCCGAGCTCTCCTATTTTCCAACGTCGTTAGGTTCATTTCATGCAGCCTTTCCTCGTAACTCATGCCTCTTAGTTCTGGGACTAGTCTAGTGGCATACCTCTGAACTTTTTCCAGCTTCGTCTTGTGCTTGACAAGGTACTGGCTCCATGCTGGGGCCGCATACTCCAGGATTGGTCTTATATATGTGGTATACAAAGTTCTGAATGATTCCTTACACAGGATCCCGAAGGCAGTTCTGATGTTAGTGTGTCGTGTTCTAAGGAAAACTAGTAATGTAAGGCTCAGGATAATCTACGAAAATGGAAAGCTTAAGGTGATCATGAGAAAAAAATTTCATTGGTATAACGAAAAATACAAAATGTATTTTCTCAAGTGATTTGTCTTTGTATTCCGTTACATTTTCTTTGGCGGTAAATATTCTGATAAAGGGCAAATTGACAATCTAACCTGAGTCTGAATGTCCTCGCTGTAGATGGCGCCACAGAAGATGGGGGCGATGGCCTGGATGGACAGTAGACCAAAGCTGAGTGGGAAATACCAGTCGGAATAGTCGAGCGAGGAGACAAGGGTCCAATAGAGGAAACAGATGAGGGAGATAATGTGGTGGGGAACGATCACCAGCATGAAGGGACCCATAATAGCCTTGAAGGCCTGGATGAGTCGTCTCAGCTCCAGGACCGCCTCTTCCAATCGAATAATATCACTGGAAGCAATGCACTTTTGAACGTGCGACGCACACGTCTCTCCAAATCTTGCGCACTCAATTATGGATTCCAGTTCCGTTCTAATGTGGCTGAGGCATAAAGCGAACACCTTGGAGGCCATCACCACCCACAGGATGGGCATGGAGAGCGTGAAGCTGTAGATCACATACACGTACACCAGCGACAACATCCGCCACACACCGTCGTTATTGATCAAATTGAAGCGAAGTTCGTTTAAAATATTGACAACAAAGAAGATAATGCATACCAAGAACCCAACATAAAGCGGGACAGCCAGGCTGTACGAATGGGCCCCAGTCGCCAAGGTTCTAAACTTGCGCTCGAAGGTCATCCAGTTCTGGAGGAACCTAGCCCACTCTTTATTGTAGACGAGGGACAGGACATGCATGGCCACCGCGGAGATGGTCATTACTGCCACGATTAGGATCATAACATAAACTGTTATGCTGTTGTCGCCGCCTGCGATGGAGGACATAAGACAGTTGTAGAAGCATGGTACATTGAACCCGATGGAGCAAACAATCCAGCAAGTTAAGAAAGGGGACAACTTCCAGCAGCGGTCGTAGTAGCTGTAGGAGACGGGCAAACATCCCCAAATCTTGCTCCAGCGTTCAATGTGGACGAAGGGCGTCGGGTAGGTGCGGACAACGAAGCTCTCTAGGTCAATCGGAATGGGTGGGAGTTCGTCCAAGGTGGAGGGACTGTGAGGAAACATATCCATTGAGATAGGCATCTTGGCGGGCTCTTCGTGTGGTCGACAAGATGGCCATCTGGTGCTGACGGATGTAACTTCGAAAGATTTCAGAGAATTAATAGTAAATGTATTCTCTCGGGCGATTCTCTGCACTACCCGTTATATTGTCATTGACGGTAAATATTGAGTGCTAGTTTAACAACACTGAATAATCTAGGCACTTTAAAAGTCAATTCTTTACGAGTCAATTCTTTCATATAAAATCAAAGTACTTGCCAGGCGTATTAATAGAGTACAGGGTTCCTGGGAGGACGTGTCAGAATACAGGGTTCCTGGGAGGACGTGCCAGGCGTGTCATCTTCCGTGAGAGTTCGTTGTCGACTGTGGCTACCACCCACCCGCCAGCGGAGTGGCTCTCCGCCCCACTCAGTCCTGCCCTTGTGAATCTCCAGCACCTCGCGTCAAGGTCGCACAAGAGGTGTATGTGATTATAAGGAATCACTATTAGATATAATCTGGATCTCATTATTTAATTACGTTTCATAGCAACAAATTACAAGAATTACCTATTCTTGAGGAGGGGATGTGAGGTGCGGGAAGGGGGGGGGGGGTATATATTTATGGACTTGGTATAATACATAGAGACCAGCCACATATCTTTTACGGGCTATTCATGCCCGTGCCACCTTTTGGGTGGCTAAATCTTTATCAATCACATATCTTCCGTGTTTTACGGGCTATTCATGCCCGTGCCGCCTCTTGGGTGGCTTAATCTTTATCAATCATATTCCATGTTGGAGAGCCCAGATATCCGGCACACAGGAGGATGAGTTAAGCGAGCATATAACTGTATGTCTGGCCCTGTCTTGTGTTTTATATAACATAAAACATAAGACCTCTGATTATGAGTATTATTAATACTTTTTAAGTCGATGACTTAAAATGGTCCAGGATGGATCGACATGAGAATGGTCCAGGACGGACCGAAACGTCGACGTCCCTTCACTTTCTCGTGTGTGGTCTGGTCAACATACTTCAGCCACCTTATTGTGACTCATCGCCTGCATATTACTTTTTAATTACTAATTATTATTATTTTGTACACGTCATTAGTTATTTTGAAGTTTGCAAACAAAAACTGCATATTTTTTTTCATATTAATTCGGAAATTCTACATATTTATTGAATACTCTTGTTACTATTAGTATTAACAAGCTGCTCCAAATTTTTAAAAGAAGACAACGATAAGCAAATTGCTATTGTTAACATATATTAAAGAATTGCGGGAATATCCATGGCACAAGTAAGGCATTTTTAATATCCCTTGCATTGAGAATTCAACTAATAATAATTAAAATTGGTATTAATTCTAATGATTAATATTTGTATTATTTTTGTTATACGTATATGAGTGAAAGAGACGACGACTTATGACTTATTCATTCATGCCAAATGTGCTTTGTTGCATTTAACTCATAAGATTCGTTTTCTCCAGATCCTAAATTAAAATGACAAGGCATAAAGATTCCAGTAAAGTATTCTGAAAAGCATCTGGGGCACATTCATATCCCTCAAGGGTTCTTTTGTCAATTTTTCTGATGCTATTTGAAACATAAAAGTCAGAACGAAAGTGTTCAGAACGTGTCATTATGGCAACCTGGTTATGTCATTATCTGGTCGGAAGTAAAGTTATTTAACAGTCAGTGTCTAAGCTTGTATGTATGTGAACTATGGGACCAACAAAATGATGATCTTGGTAGGCTTAATTGTCAAAGGAGGAAACATTCAAGTCGTATCTTAGCACTCCATCCTTGCACTAATCGCGATATCTTACCTGGATTCATCAAGAAGTTACCCGAACACTTACGAACCTGTATCTATTTTCTCTCAATCTTTGGCGTCTTTGTTTACATTTATTAGACAATTTATCTTATTCACTCTTGTGTTGATGATATCCTCAAAATGCATCCGGAGTCTGCCAGTGCAGACTGCCTATCACATGTCTCTGTATGTCTAACCATCCTGTGTGATGGGGATTTTTTAGCATCACCTAGTTAGCTTTTTTGACACACTGTACTCTTACTTCATATAGTCTAGGGTAGCTGCACAAATGCAGATGTACCTCATGTATTAATAAAAAAAATGAAGCACTCCGAAGCTGATAATAATAATAATAATACCATTTCATGTGGAAATTTTTGGCCTCGTAAACTGTTTAATACAAGTAAAGAAAGCAGCCAAATATTGAACAAAAAATGTATAGGTTCGCAAGTAGCTGCGTATCCACTTGATGAATGCAAGCCCAGGATGTCCACACCTATAAACATTTAAAGAAATATTTACAAACGAATGATATCCTTATTGTCTGAAAGGAATCACCCCATGTAGCAAAATCAATAAGCACATTTTTAGGCATTCATTGCTAACCTCTCAAACTTTTCCCGAAATATAAATTTGACTGTTAAGTAATACAACTTAAGAATTAGTGATGTATATAATTGTGTAGCAGAAATACACGAGAGAATAGAATATATTATATATATAAAAATTAACCCAGTCAACAAAGCAGGTAGATTCACCTACTGGATATTTGGAATGTTGCTAGGCTGCTGGAAATCGTAAAGTTGAAGAACTTTAATTTACAGGATGTTAATAACATGTAACTTATATATATAATACGTTAAATATGAGTGAATGATTAGTATACGTGTGCAGAGCCTGCAGTGTTAACTGGATATTTCTCCAATAGCACTGATCAGAATTCAACAGCCTATCATCGTAAACATGGTCTTCAACCCAATCTCCCCATTCCTCCACATGTTTAGGAATTAACAGTACTCCATACATGACTCACAACTGCTGGGGTTTCCCTCAGTCCCTTTGTTGGAAGGTATCTCTCTATAGGTGTTTATATCAACGTATTAAACGTATTCTAGATACAAATAATTGCCAACATAGCAAAACATATCTAACAAAGGCTCAACTATACATCAAATTATATATAATTAATTAAACCAGACTTAGAGCGATTTTTTTTTTGGAGGAGCGTAAGCTAAGTATAGGTTGTTAAGACGTAGTTTGATTCCTTGGGATTGTTACACTGGATCCAATGTAGGTTTCCATGTACCTGTGAACGTTAAATGGTCGTGTTCATTAACATCGGGTCAGTCAGTTGGAGTTGGTACAGTGAGATGTTCACAGTTTTGTCTCAGGCGCTACATATCGTCTTAGTCAACTCTTGAGAACGTTCTCCCGGATGTCTTCAGCCATCGACGAACAACTATTTGTAAGCAAAGTGCTTCACATACATTTAGCATTGTTAAATCTTGTTATATTTACTTGCCGTTATTGTTAATTTCCTATCCATTTAGTTCGTGTGAAAATACTTCAAGATAAATGTTAACTTTAGATAAACCTGCGATTGGAGTGCATTAGCTGGAGGCTGGAGGTGTCTCCATCCTTGGTCACGGAATTGTAATTTTTTTGACATTTGGATTTTTTGTTTTTTGACGAATTTGGATTTTTGGGGGGTTGGCGGATTTGGAATTTGTTTGTTGGCGGATTTGCAATTTAAAGCCTTGTCCCATACTTGCTGGGGAGCTGATAGCCGCGCGCTTCTCTATTTACAGTGATGTGTGAAGTGGATTACGGCTGTCCTGCTAACTCGCCTGCCTCTCCTTCCTCTCTTGGTCTGTGCACCATTCTGGGTGACGCCTAACTCTGGTGCCTCTCCTTCCTCCCCGCCTACCCTGAGCCTCTTATGTGAACACCTGCTCTCTTAACCTACCAGAGGACCCAAACTTGCTGCTTTGGGTACATTTCATTTGAAAAATTAATTTAATATTTTGTTTACATTAAAAAACGGCTATTTTTGGCCGTAGTGCATACGAGCGAAAAGCGACGTAATTTGTAAGAGGACGGGTTAGAAAAATATGCATAGGCACACTAAGTCATAGACAGAGTGGGGGAAGAAGATTGTAACTATAGGAGTTCAAGATTATCCGCCTTGTGTGTATTTAAGATCACTTCTTTCAAATGTGTATTTAAGATAAAGCGACACTTTCTATATTCATTCTTTACCGGAAGACGTTCCAGTGTGGAACGAAACATTGTAGAAAATATACATATACCCTTCAGTAATCATTAGTTTCCTTACCATGAATTTGGGTAACTTGATTGTTCTTCTTAATCCCGAGAGTAAGAAAATAGTTAGAAGCATAGAAAGATTATATTATAAGATCAACAATGCCAGCAATATATATATATATATATATATATATATATATATATATATATATATATATATATATATATATATATATATATATGTATATATATATATATATATATATATATATATATTCAGAATAATTACAAAAACACATGTGATTCGGTTAAGCGTAATTATCCACTAGGAAAATGAAACTAAAGTTCCGAATGTGTTCGTGTTTCAACACATTATCAAGGAAATGCAGAAAGTTGACATAAGAGTTTGAGATTATATACCCCACTACACATGACTAGACAAAGAACCATAAGCTAAAACATCGATTAATGGAGGTGACATGAAGGTGAGATGATAAAGTGGATATTATCTGGGGTATTAAATGTATCTTTTGATATGCATAAACTATACATCACGTCAAGGTTATATTTTGGTCACCCACCACACAAATTGGGGGTTTTAAATGGATATTAACTGGGTATTCCTTCATTCATTCATACACTGTTTTTATACCTATCACAAATCTTACCAATTATAAAGTTATCAAATTTATATATTCCTCGATTTACATTAATATTATCTAATTCACTACTTTTATGAATGAAGCTCCAATAATATTCCTTTCAGTAATTGATTTACGATCCAAAATTTTGCATGAATTGGCTCAGTCAATTGAATGGTTACACTCTCTTAAGTACAATCTCTTACTTAGATTATATTCTCAACATTAGAAGGAGTACATGTGGGGGTGCCCGGGTCTCCCCCCCCCCACATCCCTCCTCCTCCCTCATTCCTCCTCCCCTTCCTCTTTCCTCCTCCCCTTCCTCACAACACACAATGGCAGCAAACACAACATAACCACAATGTTATTTTTACAATTGTTACTTTGATGGAGTATTGTTAAAACGTTAAATTTCGTTGTAAGTTGGAATATTATGAATAGCAGAAAATGATATTAAAAACTCTCTGGAAAACTGAACCTCCCATTTACAGACTTCATTGGCGTCGCTGGGAATTGGAATAGGAGCTGATGCTTCTTAAAGATGGGCTTCTTGAAGATCGACCTCGACCTCCCTATGACACTCTCCATACAGTCACAAGTCACCATGCAAAGTTACATGAGGTTTTCCACAAGCGTCTGGACTCCGACCTTGGACAAACACACAGTCTCTTTTATATAGATTTTGTTCTAATCCCGATTCAGTATTTGTATTATGCCTCACATCAAACATTTAGGAACCATTGCATAGACAAGCTACTTCATTTTCAACGTGACGATGTCCGAAGTAGTGCTTAATATTAGCTTTACGCGTCTGTGTTTTACAGTGTGGCTCAGGATGTCTGAGATTAGATTTGTTAGGCACTAGACAGCTAGGTATGGATAGGAGGAGGGTGTTGAAGGTGTCTGCAAGAGAGTGTTGGAGGTGGCTGCTGGAGAAATAATGGAGGTGGTCGTCCATAGGTAGTGCGGGTAGGAGACCGTTAGCGTCCTCCACCATAGAACTGGATCAACACCACCAGATACGTCACCACTGTGTTCACCACCTGCAAAACGAACACATTGTCGCTATATCTGTATATTTCCCCATCCAATAGCATTTTAATGTTGCGAAATAATCTAAAATTTTTCGGCATTATCATGAATACTCTTTGTGTCACACGGGCTCACCATAGCCCGTGCTACTTGGAACTTGTTCCGAGTAGCTGAATCTATAACAACAACAACATCTTTGTGTCAACATTAATGTTATATACTACTTGCTTGTTCTCTTACTGTGTTGTTTCTATGCCAATGGCTCACCTACCGACTAAAATAATGTATTAACACATACACACATACATACATTCTCTTTTACATAGATATAAGAATGACCTAATTTGTACATAAATTGGTGTAGGGCTTAAAGCCTATCATCATCGGCCGGGTTGGAGCCACACAGCTTACTGACCAACGACAGATAAACTTACCAGCTCCTTATGTATGGGTCGCTGGAAAAGTAAGCGACACATTTACATATATCGTATGGAAGGAGTACATACCGAGGTAGCCATGCCCTTGTTGAGAGTAAAGAAGCCTCGGCCCTCGATCTGCGCGTCGAGCCGGTCTAGGTGGTCGATTAGAGTCGTCATCTGAGGAACATGAAGAGTATCTTACTTGTCAGGGAGGGAACATAGGGTCTTTAACTCGCCTGCTGATGATACATAAGAGAACACTCTAATACGTCGCATTATTCTTATCCTTAACCATTTTTCCGATGCTAAGAAAAATATCTTTTACACCTTTGGTGCCGGAAGCAACAGCAGCACACCCAGTGATGTCGTTGGGGGCCGGGACCTTGGGGGAGATAATGCTTGGGACCGGTTAGTATATTCACCACATCACCAAAATCATTTTTTACAGAGGTATGCTCAGGAGCCGACGACGTCTGACTCCCGTTAGCAGGCTGAGAGCTTTCCCTCCCCCTAGCCAATGGAAGGCACTACATTAATAGTGAGGTAAGTTTGTAGCTAGCCAGGGAGGTTGGGCTAATTCGTAGCTAGCCAAGGACGTGGGACAAGTTCGTAACTAAGATTAGGCCATAGTTAGCTAATTTAGTCATGATGCTCAGAATAAAATATCTCGATTGTGGCAGAGTAGCCTAAGACGAGATTTTTTTAAGTACAACACCTATCCCACCAAACACACACCGAAACTACGACGTTGGTACAACGTTCGAACAAGTTTTAACACCTCCTAACCAGTTATAACAACCAATATAACAAGTTGTAACAACGTTCTAATACGTCATAAACACGTTAAGACAAGATGTAACAACTTTATTACAAGTTGTAACAAACGGAAAATAGAGACAGTTTCGGTTTGTGTTTCCAGGGTATGCTTTAATTAATGTGTTAACATTAAAACATAACTGGTTTGGTGTTGGGTTTAAACTATAGGATGTTGGGTTTAAATCCAATATATATAAACTATGTATGTTGGGTTTAATCTAAATGCTGAACACCGAGTATTTATACTAAAATATATTAGCTGGTTGGTCAGTATAGGCTATTGTGGTGGCCTTAAGAACCCTCCAGAGGTTGGCAGACCAACACCATTTAATTTATTTATTTATTTATATATATATATATACAAGAAGGTACATTGGGATTGTCAGGATACATAGCATAGTAATAACATTCTTGTAATGCCACTAGTACGCGCAGCGTTTCGGGCAGGTCCTTAATCTGACAATGATGATTAACTCGACAATGATTAATTTAATGACAATGACAAATGGGAACATGGAGGTGTCACTCACCTTGTGTTTGGCAGCTTCGTCTGTCATTGAACCTTTCAAGATAATTAACGGCTCAATTAGCGTCTCCTTCTGAAAGTCATTTAAAATGTGTCAAATAATGCAATAATTGGAAAGATAATTAAATGCAATATATAAAATATATGCTTTGAATTGTTCACGAAGCAAGTAAGTAATATCATAGATGAATACTTTTACTGTAATTGTTTTATCACTTGTTAAATCAGACAAGGGTAGGATAGTGTATTTTGTATAATGTTTTAAAATAATATAATCAGCTGTATTTTGCAATATGGCCAATTATTATTATTCGATAAGATTATTAATCAGAATTTGTGTGTAATTTATATAATGTATTTTGTGCAATCTAATCTTGAATCATTTATTTTCAAATGTATGTAAGGTTCTGTATACTGTATTTATTTTACGTAAGACATTCTCTATAATGTAATTTTATGAAATATATTTCCTGTAATGTTGAATTGTGATCTTTTTTTAAAATTTGAAGGTCATAATATTTTAATAAAGTTGTGTATTCATTCTTGTACATGGTAGCCTGGTGTATATTGTACCTGTACATGGTAGCCTGGTGTATATTGTACCTGTACATGGTAGCCTGGTGTATATTGTACCTGTACATGGTAGCCTGGTGTATATTGTACCTGTACATGGTAGCCTGGTGTATATTGTACCTGTACATGGTAGCCTGGTGTATATTGTACCTGTACATGGTAGCCTGGTGTATATTGTACCTGTACATGGTAGCCTGGTGTATATTGTACCTGTACATGGTAGCCTGGTGTATATTGTACCTGTACATGGTAGCCTGGTGTATATTGTACCTGTACATGGTAGCCTGGTGTATATTGTACCTGTACATGGTAGCCTGGTGTATATTGTACCTGTACATGGTAGCCTGGTGTACATTGTACCTGTACATGGTAGCCTGGTGTATATTGTACCTGTACATGGTAGCCTGGTGTATATTGTACCTGTACATGGTAGCCTGGTGTATATTGTACCTGTACATGGTAGCCTGTTGTATATTGTACCTGTACATGGTAGCCTGGTGTATATTGTACCTGTACATGGTAGCCTGGTGTATATTGTACCTGTACATGGTAGCCTGGTGTATATTGTACCTGTACATGGTAGCCTGGTGTATATTGTACCTGTACATGGTAGCCTGGTGTATATTGTACCTGTACATGGTAGCCTGGTGTATATTGTACCTGTACATGGTAGCCTGGTGTATATTGTACCTGTACATGGTAGCCTGGTGTATATTGTACCAGTACATGCCAGCCTGGTGTACATTGTACCAGTACATGCCAGCCTGGTGTATATTGTACCTGTACATGGTAGCCTGGTGTACATTGTACCAGTACATGCCAGCCTGGTGTACATTGTACCTGTCCATACCGGCCAGGTATGCCTTGTACCTATATGTGTCAGCCTAATGTACATTATACCTTTACGTATCAGCCCTGATATGCAGTCATACTTGGTAAGAGCACAGTAATCAACCCCTCACATCAGTGCCATCATATTGGGAGTTCAGCTCAGGGTCCTGTTCATCTGAACATACAATACAGCTCGCTAGTGCTACCTAATGGGATTCTATGATGCCGAGTTCTCATCATACACGCCTGCAGGCCTAGCAAAACAGCCTTTGTATCGATATCCCTTAAAATATGATTTCCGGACACCCATTTCTCTAGCGTCCCGCTGGGAAACAAACGACGGTGCGTCCGTATAAATGTCAAGATCAACAGACTTTGAGTAAGTAATTATCAAAAGAAGGCACCAAGTCGGGATGCCATATGTAGGACCATCTTCTTGAGGTTATCTTGAGATGATTTCGGGGCTTTTTTAGTGTCCCCGCGGCCCGGTCCTCGACCAGGCCTCCACCCCCAGGAAGCAGCCCGTGACAGCTGACTGACACCCAGGTACCTATTTTACTGCTAGGTAACAGGGGCATAGGAAACTCTGCCCATTGTTTCTCGCCGGCGCCTGGGATCGAACCCAGAACCACAAGATCACATGTCCAGCGTGCTGTCCGCTCGGCTGGTCCCAAAAAAGAACAAATTAATATCCTGCTTGATATGTCGCAGGATAGAGGACAAAATGCTTAAAGGCAGGACTGTCCTGCCTTTAAGCAGGATGCCTGGCTACCCAAATTACTAACTAGCCATGCATGGGGCCTTGAAAATAGAACATATCTAACCAGGATGATTGAATATTATCAAAGTAAGTTAGGAAGAATATGGGAAATTAAAAAAACGGAAATAATAGGATATAAAAATGGCAAAATGTTCACTCAGTAACGAGTAACATAACCATAACATAGTAACATAGTCATAACGAGTAAATTTGAAGAATAAATAGGAATGTCTTTGTGGTGTAGTGGTAAGACACTCGCCTGGCGTTCCGCTTTGTCATGGGTTCGTATCCTGGCCGGGGAGGATTTACTGGGCACAAATCCTTAACTGTAGCCTCTGTTTAACTCAACAGTAAAATGTGAACTTGGTTGTAACAACGATTCTTCGCGGCGGGGATCGTATTCCAGGAACCTGCCCGAAACACTAGTGGCTGTACAAGAATGTAAAAACTCTTGTATATATCTCAAATGTTACTGGAACCTCGCCGCGAGGCAGTATACGAAACGTCTTTGTAAACAGTGGGGGCGTGAGCTAGGAGGCTGATGTCATTACTCCCAAACTACCCATCTTACTGGTAACGTGGACTGTTTTTTATACTATTTACGTGCGAGTGGTGTTCCCTGGGTCATTATTGCGAAGGTTTTAGCTGGCGATAGTCATACGTTTACTGTGAAATGGATGTTGTTGTGTAGGCAACGAAGGCGTTGGTCGCTCTGGTGGTGATGTGTAGTGTACGAACATGACGATATTTGCTCATTATCTCGACACAATAACAACCTAGCCTATTATATTTGTTTCAAAATTTAATAATAAATGTGTTTAATTTAGTACTGTGCTCTACTGGCCAAGATCATAGTTTGAAGTGTGTTGACTGTTCGTAAAGTGGTCTAATTATTCATATTTAACTGTCTACAATATTACTTTTGTCTACAATATTCATATTGTAACTGGCTATCGTAACTTTTTTTTTTTTTTTTTTGGGGGGGGGGATATATAGAAGAGTTGTTACATGGTTGTAGAGCCACTAGTACGCGTAGCGTTTCGGGCAGGTCCCTGGAATACGATCCCCGCCGCGAAGAATCCTTGTTACAACCAAGTACACATTTTACTGTTGAGTTAAACAGAGGCTACAGTTAAGGATTTGCGCCCAGTAAATCCTCCCCGGCCAGGATACGAACCCAGGACATAGCGCTCGCGGAACGCCAGGCTAGTGTCTTACCACTGCACCACGGAGACTGGTTATTGTGCTCATTGAATGGAGAAAATCTATTTCCCTTGTAATGTCTCCTTAAAACATAGGCCGCGCTGGTACGGTAGGGAAATTCGTTAGTATATATGGAAATATGTTTGTAAGGTGATTAAGACGCCTAGAATCACACGGCTGTTTCCTCCAAGTGAGTACTTGGCGTTTATCACGATAATTCGAGATGTTTAATGGTTGTTAAGTTTGCTTTTGTAATGGGCGATTTGGACATGTGAATTTTAAATGATAAAAAGTATGATTTGTTTTCTTGAACATATGTCTGTAGAAATATTTTTGTTAGTGATAAACAGATAAACAGGTTATACAGTCTCCGTGGTGTAGTGGTAAGACACTCGCCTGGCGTTCCGCGAGCGCTATGTCATGGGTTCGTATCCTGGCCGGGGAGGATTTACTGGGCGCAATTCCTTAACTGTAGCCTCGGTTTAACGCAACAGTAAAATGTGTACTTGGATGAAAAAACGATTTTTCGCGGCAGGGGATCGTATTCCAGGGACCTGCCCGAAACGCTACGCGTACTAGTGGCTGTACAAGAATGTAACAACTCTTGTACATATCTCAAAAAAATAAATAAATAAATAAATAAATAAATAAATATCCTAAGTTGTGTGTGAATTTGAGATACGAGAAATATAGAGAAATATAAGGAGTTAATGAATAAATCCACAAGGGCCGTGATAAGGGTTCGAACTTACGTCCAAGATGAGCCCAGACGCGCCTTAATCGTCTGCGCCACGACATGGTATAAGGGGTTTTGATTCATAAAAAGTTTGAGTGAAACTTTACCTGAGTGTGAACGTCTTCGCTATAGATGGCGCCACAGAAGATGGGCATGATTGCCTGGGCGGAGAGGAGGCCAAAGCTGAGAGGAGAGTACCAGTCCGTGTAGTCGAGGATGGATACTAGCGTCCAGTAGAGGAAGCAGATGAGAGAGATGATGTGGTGGGGGATAATGACCAGCATTAAGGGGCCCATGATCGCCTTGAAGCCTTCGATGATTCTGGCCAAGTCCAGCACCGCCTCCTGCATGTGATTCATGTCTCCCGTGGCGATGCATTTCTGTACGGGTGAAGACGCGCATCTGATGCCGTAGTTGACGCACTCCATGATGGACTCGAGCTCCCTCCTGATGTGGCAGAGGCAGGCAGAGAACACCTTGGAGGCCATAACCACCCACAGGATGGGCATGGAGAGGGTGTAGCTGTAGATAACATATACGTACACCAGCGATAACATCCGCCAGACGCCGTCACCGTTGATAAGGTTAAAGCGAAGTTCGTTTAAAATATTCACCACAAAGAATGTGATGTAGAGAAAGAAGCCGACAAAGAGCGGGAGAGCTACCCTGAAGGAATGGACGCCCGCTGTCAGTGGCGGGAACTTACGCTCGAAGGCCATCCAGTTGTTGAGGAAGGTAATCCAGTCGTCGTAGTAGAGAAGCGCTAACACGTGCATAGATATCCCCGAGATGCTCATTACGGACACTATCATGATCATTACGTACAGCATGAGGCCGTCCGTGCCCAGAGACGACTGGATGCATTCGTAGAAGGTGGGCATGTTGAGACCAATGGCACAGATCACCCAGCAGGTGAGAAAAGGCGAGAGTTTCCAGGAACGCGCCGAGTGGCTGTAAGACACAGGTAGACAGCCCCATATCTTGCTCCACCGGACAATGTGAACGAAAGGCGTCGGGAATCCTGGCGTGATATAGTCATCAAAACCTAAGTACAGGGCGGGGATGTGAGCCACGACGTCGTGCTCCAGTGGAACCATCGTCTCAGTCCTCTTGGCGCCCCACATTGACGCGGGATCGTCGCTGAACAGATTTCAACGAGCAAAGTGATTTTACAAACCGCCTCTCGCTTTAAAATATTGTTTCTAGTACAAGAATAGGTGATGACATTTCAGCAGTTTCCGGAAACACTACATTTTACTGAGTGCAATTTATGCAAATTACGTTGAAGGTAATTGAGTGAGAAGAGTGAAGGTGGAGTTGCTGGAAGATGTTGCCTCAGGAGGCGGCCAGAGGCCAACTGAGGCCCCGCGACCCGCCCAACCCTTCACCCTCTTCACCATCTTCACTTCAACACCCACCCGGTACCTCATCACCCACCCGGTACCTCAACACCCACCCGGTACCTCAACACCCACCCGATACCTCATCACCCACCCGGTACCTCATCACCCACCCGGTACCTCATCACCCACCCGGTACCTCAACACCCACCCGGTACCTCATCACCCACCCGGTACATCATCACCCACCCGGTACATCATCACCCACCCGGTACCTCATCACCCACCCATCATCACCCACCCGGTACCTCAACACCCACCCGGTACCTCAACACCCACCCGGTACCTCATCACCCACCCGGTACCTCAACACCCACCCGGTACCTCAACACCCACCCGGTACCTCAACACCCACCCGGTACCTCAACACCCACCCGGTACCTCAACACCCACCCGGTACCTCAACACCCACCCGGTACCTCAACACCCACCCGGTACCTCATCACCCACCCGGTACCTCAACACCCACCCGGTACCTCAACACCCACCCGGTACCTCAACACCCACCCGGTACCTCAACACCCACCCGGTACCTCATCACCCACCCGGTACCTCAACACCCACCCGGTACCTCAACACCCACCCGGTACCTCAACACCCACCCGGTACCTCAACACCCACCCGGTACCTCAACACCCACCCGGTACCTCATCACCCACCCGGTACCTCAACACCCACCCGGTACCTCAACACCCACCCGGTACCTCAACACCCACCCGGTACCTCAACACCCACCCGGTACCTCAACACCCACCCGGTACCTCAACACCCACCCGGTACCTCAACACCCACCCGGTAGTTGTGTAAATGCTTAAGTAATCCTGGACCGTACAAGAACATAAGAACTCTTGTACATATAAGTAAATCAAATAAAAAAAAGAACGTGTCGGCAGTGATTGAACCCGGAAAGTCAAGGGACGCAGATTCGAGCCCATTGCATGGCCTCAATATTTACTTTGTAATTTACGGCTCTTTATTATAATACAGTGCGGTAGCTAGTGTTATATTCTTTTGTAGTTTATGAACGGTGTTTAAGGCTTTATTTGACGTGAGTGCTGACTTGACGTGAGTGCTGACTTGACGTGAGTGCTGACTTGACGTGAGTGCTGACTTGACGTGAGTGCTGACTTGACGTGAGTGCTGACTTGACGTGAGTGCTGACTTGACGTGAGTGCTGACTTGACGTGAGTGCTGACTTGACGTGAGTGCTGACTTGACGTGAGTGCCGACTTGACGTGAGTGCTGACTTGACGTGAGTGCTGACTTGACGTGAGTGCTGACTTGACGTGAGTGCTGACTTGACGTGAGTGCCGACTTGACGTGAGTGCCGACTTGACGTGAGTGCTGACTTGACGTGAGTGCTGACTTGACGTGAGTGCTGACTTGACGTGAGTGCCGACTTGACGTGAGTGCTGACTTGACGTGAGTGCCGACTTGACGTGAGTGCCGACTTGACGTGAGTGCTGACTTGACGTGAGTGCCGACTTGACGTGAGTGCTGACTTGACGTGAGTGCCGACTTGACGTGAGTGCTGACTTGACGTGAGTGCTAACTTGACGTGAGTGCTAACTTGACGTGAGTGCCGACTTGACGTGAGTGCCGACTTGAAACGGCGCTGACGGTCGTTCTATCTCGGGTGCCGACTGCTGATTAGCTGTTGGGTATGTGCTCGAGGCCGATATCGATACCCACGTGGGGGCGCCGTCACAGGTGGTGGTGGGTGGGGCAGGGAAGACTGGAAGGTGAGAGCTCCCCCACTCTCCAAGAGCTCCGACCCCCCCCACTCCAAGAGCTCCACCCCCCTTCCCACTCTCCAAGAGCCCCCTCGCCCTCTAGTGTGTGTTCAGTCACTTAAGGGTTTGTGACGTACAAGGGCAAACTTGTAAGTTTGTAAGTAAGTAAGTAAACTCAAACTTTTCATAAGAAAACTCTTTTTCTTATGAACTAAGAAAAGGGCCTACTCGTGTGTATGATCTTGAGATGGGAGTTCTAGACGGCATGTGAAGTTCAGATCGGGCCCCAGTGGGTATGTGAAGTTCGGTATGTGTTGACTTGAGATTCTTAGTCGAGAGTCCCATGATGTGTGTATGTGTCTGTGTGTGGGGGGGGCTCCAGGTGTATGTGTGGCGAGAAGTTAAGTGGTAAGTGACCCTAATTGTTCATAGCTTATAGGAGAATGAACCCCATATAATAAGAGGATTTCGACTCCATCTTGTAAGGACCATTAAGACGCTAGTGTGTAATTCACTCGATGGAATGCGCTCAGTAAAGAGACTCGTGTGTTCGCGTAAGAGCAACAGGAAAGGGTTTATGTGGTAAGGGCCAGGACCCCCTTAGTGACGGTTTGTGATTTACTCCTGAGTGAGTGTTTAGTGATGAGGGCCTTGAGTTAGGAGCCCAGGATGATGCCTCAGACGGCAAAGGCCCCCATGAGTTGCCTCATTTCAAAGGCTACGGGTGTGAGGGCTTATGCAGACGAGTGGATATGAGGGCCTGGGTGATGAGTGCCTGTGGATATGAGGGCCTGGGTGATGAGTGCCTGTTCATTTGAGGGCCTGGGTGATGAGTGCCTGTGGATATGAGGGGCCTGGGTGATGAGTGCCTGTGGATATGAGGGCCTGGGTGATGAGTGCCTGTGGATATGAGGGCCTGGGTGATGAGTGCCTGTGGATATGAGGGCCTGGGTGATGAGTGCCTGTGGATATGAGGGCCTGGGTGATGAGTGCCTGTGGATATGAGGGCCTGGGTGATGAGTGCCTGTGGATATGAGGGCCTGGGTGATGAGGGACAATACCCAGCCACCAACAGGAGCAACTCCCTCACCTCCTCACCATTGTCTCACTTTTGGACAACAGGGTCCGGCGTTCGATTACCAATACCAGCTTTGTGGGGAGGGGTTCTGGGGAGGGGTGGATGAGGGAGAGAGGGATGTCGGGGGAGAGGTGTTGTGGGTAGCGGGGATAGTGTTGTAGGTAGCAGTTGTTATAAGGGGTTGTCATTTATCACAAGGTCTTGTCTATCACCTACGAACTTGTAAAAGCATCTTAATCTCCTTCAGTGGTTAAGGGCTTAATAACACACTAGTTTCTATAGCAGCTATCTTACCCTGTCAAAGTAGGAGACATAAATAAATATATGTATATTCATGTATGTATAAATATGTGTATACAGGGTATGTGTAAGCTGGTCAGAACTACATTTCACCTTTGTAAACGCACATTAATGACACTATGTAAAAGATGCCTCGAACACTGTTTATGTAGGATAGACGTAAATCAGTGTATTTATGTATGTAGGTTAGATTAGCATTTTAAAAGCACTACAATCACCTTCTGGGGTTTATTGGGCACCCTTCCTCACCTGTGTGGGTTTATTGGGCACCTTTCCTCACCTGTGTGTGGGTTTATTGGGCACCTTTCCTCACCTGTGTGTGGGTTTATTGGGCACCTTTCCTCACCTGTGTGGGTTTATTGGGCACCCTTGCTCACCTGTGTGGGTTTATTGGGCACCCTTGCCCACCTGTGTGGGTTTATTGGGCACCCTTGCCCACCTGTGTGGGTTTATTGGTGACCCTTGCCCACCTGTGTGTGGGTTTATTGGGCACCTTCCTCACCTGTGTGTGGGTTTATTGGTCACCCTTGCCCACCTGTGTGGGTTTATTGGGCACCCTTGCCCACCTGTGTGTGGGTTTATTGGGCACCCTTGCCCACCTGTGTGTGGGTTTATTGGGCACCCTTGCCCACCTGTGTGTGGGTTTATTGGGCACCCTTGCCCACCTGTGTGTGGGTTTATTGGGCACCCTTGCTCACCTGTGTGTGGGTTTATTGGGCACCCTTCCTCACCTGTGTGGGTTTATTGGGCACCCTTGCCCACCTGTGTGTGGGTTTATTGGGCACCCTTGCTCACCTGTGTGTGGGTTTATTGGGCACCCTTGCTCACCTGTGTGTGTTTATTGGGCACCCTTGCCCACCTGTGTGTGGGTTTATTGGGCACCTTGCTCACCTGTGTGTGGGTTTATTGGGCACCCTTGCCCACCTGTGTGTGGGTTTATTGGGCACCCTTGCTCACCTGTGTGTGGGTTTATTGGGCACCCTTGCTCACCTGTGTGGGTTTATTGGGCACCCTTGCCCACCTGTGTGTGTTTATTGGGCACCCTTGCCCACCTGTGTGTGGGTTTATTGGGCACCCTTCCTCACCTGTGTGTGGGTTTATTGGGCACCCTTGCTCACCTGTGTGTGGGTTTATTGGGCACCCTTGCTCACCTGTGTGTGGGTTTATTGGGCACCTTGCTCACCTGTGTGTGGGTTTATTGGGCACCCTTGCTCACCTGTGTGTGGGTTTATTGGGCACCCTTCCTCACCTGTGTGTGGGTTTATTGGGCACCCTTGCTCACCTGTGTGTGGGTTTATTGGGCACCCTTGCTCACCTGTGTGTGGGTTTATTGGGCACCTTTCCTCACCTGTGTGTGGGTTTATTGGGCACCTTGCTCACCTGTGTGTGGGTTTATTGGGCACCTTGCTCACCTGTGTGGGTTTATTGGGCACCTTGCTCACCTGTGTGGGTTTATTGGGCACCCTTCCTCACCTGTGTGGGTTTATTGGGCACCTTGCTCACCTGTGTGGGTTTATTGGGCACCTTGCTCACCTGTGTGGGTTTATTGGGCACCCTTGCCCACCTGTGTGGGTTTATTGGGCACCCTTGCCCACCTGTGTGTGGGTTTATTGGGCACCCTTGCCCACCTGTGTGTGGGTTTATTGGGCACCTTGCTCACCTGTGTGGGTTTATTGGGCACCCTTGCCCACCTGTGTGTGGGTTTATTGGGCACCCTTGCCCACCTGTGTGTGGGTTTATTGGGCACCTTGCTCACCTGTGTGGGTTTATTGGGCACCCTTGCCCACCTGTGTGTGGGTTTATTGGTCACCCTTGCCCACCTGTGTGGGTTTATTGGGCAC